AGTATGGCTCCAGACAATCAAAGCCGTAGTGACCCAAGAAAGGGCCCTTTGGCCCTTTGATCCCAAAAACGGTATGATCGTTGTCCAGGTATATGCATATATATATATATATGAATGAATGAAGTATGTCTATCTTTTCAGTTTCCTAGCTAGCAAGACGCAGTCTCGGAATGTCCAACTTCCAGCGAGCTCCCGTGTTTCACCTCCGATTGGATTCCGGAGATCCCAGCCCACAGTGTTGGGAGATGTTCAGAAGATCCTGAGATGTTCATCCTATCCTGGTCCTATTGCGGTTCATGTCTCAGATTTTGACGTTCTCTTTTTTCAGTCTTTTCACTCCAAGGCCAAAGCCAGCCGCAGCATGGGCACCTTTCAGGAAGACAGGCGTTGATCACAGCTTTGTAGTCCATTTGCCAACCTGCAAGAAATGACCCTTAGCAGTCACTGGTGACTTGCCATCTACAGCAATTGATTTTGGCTTTTGGCAGGCTTTGTCCTTTCCAAGTGGGTCGTGTACCCAGTTCAAATTCCGAAAAGCTTGGTGTGGGTCGATTCCGAGCGTGGCATCCGCGTGGACGATCCCGAGGTCGGCGCACAGAGAGAGCGATCCGGTGGCATCCCCAGCGTTCGATGCACCGGAGGAATCTTGGTCAGTTGAAATTTGATGAAATTTGTATTATCATATGGGATTGATGGTACATTTTTGCTGGGAGAAGTGACAATAGACGAGCCTATTATACCTATCACTTGCGTCTTTTTTCACTGTAAGATACACTGTGTAGCTCAGTCAGAGGGACCACATGACATCGCACCTTGACCGTGCTAAAGTACAATTACAAGCGCAACAAGTGCATGATAGTGCATGGGTGTTCATGTCCGATGTCATCAGTGTGGGGGATGGAGGAAGACGATTGTACAACCAAGTTTAGTACAAGAAAACTTCAACAAAACAAAAGTCACAAAAGGACACCCTACGTCTTTGAGACAAGCCTCCAGGTAGCCTCAGCCTAGGTCACATGCTTGTCACGAGAAAGACCGGAGGCAGATGCTGGCGTCAATCGGCTGGGGCTATTACTTTTTTACTGGTCTTGAGTCTTGAGTGCTTTGGGGCAGGAGTCATCCACAATTGGACCCACCGTATTGAAATGATCACGCCCATCAAACAAAAAGGTGAACCCCCCTTGAACATGTCTTGGAAATCAGTTTGATCTATTTGGAACTCACCATCATCACGAGCCTAGTGTCACATAGCAGGCTGTTGACATGCTTTGGGCTTAGATAGATGGCTCGCAAGAGGCGTCAGTTAGTGAGTTTCCACTTTACTGCAATTGGACCTTAATTCAATTAGACCTTGGCCGAATCAGCGGTATGGCGATAAGTTGGAAGAACGGAATGCTTCAACAAAGTGCGTCAGCCCTTTATGGAAGAGGTGGGTAAAACAGCTTAAACAACATCACAACCATGCAGGTACGCCAGACTGATCAGGTCTGGTTTCACCACCGTTGCAAGTGTCTTTGTTGGCAGGAGACTTGCAATGGTGCTCCTGCCCCTGGCTGTTTTAAAACTTGAATAAAAGAAAGGAGTGTGATGTGTTCCCTTGGAGACAGGGATTGACACACTCGAGATATTGCGTGCTGACACAACTTGCGGCTTGCCACACGCCAGCCTAAGTAAAAGCCAAAGGACACCAGGTGAGTAAGTGACCATGAACGCTTCAGGCAAACCGCCAAGGAAGACTCCAAGAATCCCCCAGTTCCAAAGCGAGAGGCGAGCGGTCGACAAGGACGACGAAGCCGTGCAGAGTCTACCGACCTACCTCCACCTAAACAGCGTTTGCGTGATGGCCGCATGCCCCTGCTAAGCCACAAGCAAAACCAAAATCAACGGATTCCCTGTGACTCCAAGGGTGTCACACACACGCCTCCCGGCGCGGAAAAACTAAGGTTTAGACAAATGTGCATGTGTGCGTGCAAAACAGACAATTGGATGAGGACATGAAACGAGGACAAGACGGACCAGGTGTATGTGTATGTGGTTGCAACGAAAAGAAACCAAGTGACCAGGGACAACCGATGAACCCAACCTCCTTGTAACAACCGGGACGACCTCAAACCTGGATTTCATGTACAAGTGCGCGCGTACACTGGGGGCCGGACCGATGTGCACGCAAAAGAAGGAAAGGAGTGAGATGACAGGACATGAAGGCGGAGAAGACATGAAAAGAAAAACGAAAAGAAGTGTGTGTGAAAGGGGAAGAATGAAGGGGGAACCAGATGGAGGGGCCGCCAACAACGAAGCCAAACCTCATTAAAGCGGACCTATGTGAACCCAGCCTGAGTTTGGTATGTACGAGCTGTGTGTGCACCTATGGTTCGGGCAGACCCCAATGGGCCTAAAAAGATCTCTGACCGCTGCGGTCTACTCGGGCCGTGCCACAGTGGCTCGCATCCAATGTCCGCAGCGGACCCAAATCTTGGCGAAACTATGGCGTAAGCCCGCTGTGGACACCCCCGTTCGACAGGGCCTCAGGGGGGCATCTTTGGGCTTACCGTGGGCTGGCATGAAGCCAGACACACTCGAGATATCGCGTGCTGACACGACTTGCGGCTTGCCACACGCCAGCCTAAGTAAAAACCTAAGGAAACCAGGTGAGTAAGTGACCATGAACGCTTCAGGCAAACCGCCAAGGAAGATTCCAAGAATCCCCCAGTTCCAAAGCGAGAGGCGAGCGGTCGACAAGGACGACGAAGCCGTGCAGAGTCTACCGACCTACCTCCACCTAAACAGCCTGAAAGTAGAGTGGGACGTAGCTACGTAGTAAAATCATGATTTGCATGTACACCAGGTTGAGCAAACCTGGCTTCCACCATCACGCGTAGCTTTGTTGGCATGCGTTTGCGTGATGGCCGCATGCCCCTTGCTAAACCATAAGCAAAGCCAAAATCAACGGATTCCCTGTGACTCCAGGGTGTCCCACACACACGCACACACACATAAACAAGATACCTTCGAAATTCTTCAGCATCTCAAGAACATTCAAGAATTACTATTGGTCCCAACTTTCAGCAGCGAGTCCATGTGGTGCCTGTCTCGGCCGAAACCCCAGCTTGCCTGCGCTGGTGATAAATATGTGGCGGTCAGAACTCCAGCTTCGCATCAAATCACAAAAACGGTCTTGATCCAAAGGATGTGATTCTATTTTCTTTTGATTCCCATGGGTTTGGGGTGGCACTTTTTTCTATGTGCACCAGGGCGTGGTGGCGCACGTCACGAGGCGTCTGGAATGCTGGAAGCTTGGGATGGTGATAGCATCGTTCTAGACGGCGATGCAGGCACGGAAGCACAACAGGTGACTTGGCTCACTGCATGAATTGTTGAATTTACTTGATTTGGCCAAGATGAGGGACATTTGTTTTCTCCTTTGGGCAGACGGTGACGGATGTATGAACACTGACGCGCTACATTCTCTTCGTGGGATGTGCATGTGCAGTGGGCACCACCACTACTCATTCTGTTTGTTGGTTTTGTCAAATGGACCAAGTTAAAACCTAAATTTTCTCTGATCCAAGACATGCATACTGCATACATTTATATTTAAAATATAATTTTATGGATATATCATTATATATATATACACACACCTGTGCACATACATACTGCACCATATAAATACATTTTTCCATATGTATATAACCGGTTTCAGCACATCCAAGCCTGGTGATGACGTCAACCCCACAGCAGTTAGGATGACAATTCAATCTTGTTGAAATTACGCAGCCCCCTTGGTCCGCTTGGTTCCCTTGCTTGGTCCCCTTTGTTTGGTTCCCCCTTGGCCCATCTTGGCCACTCTGTCCGCACGTTCGGCGCAGGTCACTTTGTGGAGGAGAGATCCTTAGTGAGTGACAATGACTCCATGGCCTCATCAGTCTCTTTCTCTGCGCAAAAGATCCTCAAAATAAACGCGATGGCACTTGCACGTTTCTAAAGAAAAATCATGATCAAGGGATACATTAGTTTTTCTTCACAAGAGATTGCGAGAATTGCGAAACAAAATCCAAGGCTTTGGTGTCGGCTCCGCAGCCGCTCCCGCAGGTGCCAGAGGCCACCGCAGTCGCTGGGCGTGGCGCTGAGCTTTGAACAACGGAACAACTGGTCTAACGGTCGAATTGACACTAACATGCCAAAAAAGGTGTTGAGGATGTTCGGCTGTCCGGCAAGACGTTGTTCTGCACAGATATGCTAGAGATACTTCTAATCCGAGCCATCGTAGGACAACAATGTTCTCATGCTTCCTAGGTGGGGCGGAAATTTACTCACCCAGTCTGACCTGAGAAGGAAGCTAAGCTAAGACCACTTGGGTTGGAGCTTCGCTTTTCAGAGACACAGATGCGATCAACTTTGTGGTTGCAATGAAACAATTGAGGAGTTGTAGCCGCTCAAGTCTTTACAGAGTTGTTGCAAACAGATCGCCTGCGCTCGCACTTGACACCTCCTTGGTTCCAAAGATTCAGGTGATACCTTTTCAGCTTTCAGCAGGGAATGTGTCATCAATCCATTGTAGAGAGCTCTTGGTAAGGAATTGATGCAAACCCAGCTTGTTGAGGTGATAGACTTGGACGCCCAGCTTGGTTAATGGACTGCCTGCCAAAGTGTCAGAGACGCGAAAAAGTGCCGGCCCTGCGGTTGGTGCCCATTGGTCTCATGATGTCGCATGGCTTGATGAGAGTGGTATCCTGTATTGCCTGAAGTGCAGCACATCTCATACGATTTATCAATTTTATCGTCGCAGTTTCCGTCAACTGATGTGAATTGTCCCTGGGACCTGGACCAGACATGTTATATACTATATTACTTGTAATATATAGATACACATTGATCTATGCAGAGGTCTCCGCATCACATTCACATTCAGTCCACTCTGATATTTGCACATACACGGGCACAAATGGATACAGCAACGTCTCGAACCATATCTCATCTCTTTTCCAACTGCGCTTCGTGATTGCTTGGAGTAACATTATGAACACTTTGTGTGGAAAACCACACGGCCATGAGCCTGGACTTGCTAGCTGCCGGCCTCACCTCCTTACATGAGATTGCCGGAGATGGCAATGAACATGCAGAGCCCAGCACTGAGAAGGTACAGTGATCAGATCATTGGTTCATCAGATGAGCATCATCACATGAGCTGTTCTGAGTCTACAAGAATTTTGATTTGGAGACCCTTTCGTTTATGATATGACGAATTATGACGATTTCTGAGGAATCCACACATTCAGTTGATGACCGAAAAATCGAGGACCTGCAGGCTGAATCTGCACATGAATCGCATCAAAGATCTTGATGGCCTGTGCCAGTTCCGAAACCTCGAGGACCGACTGTGCCCCCGGAGAGGCCTCGTGTCGTTCATAGAAGTCAGAACCAAAGGTTGGTTTGAGTACTTACGGGTTTTGTGATAATCCTTTACTTTTCCTGTACAAGCCGATAATGGACTGGAGTTCCAGGCTAGCTTTTTGGAGGTGCCAACTTGGCCAACAGCCTCTTCGTTTGTTGGCTAGCTTGGAATTGGTTTCCAAGTCAGACCGGACCAAACCGCTGGGTTCTCGAATTGAGAAGCAGGTTTGGGAGAAAACAAACTCCAGCTTTTTGGTGGTTTAGGGGCTGAAATAGATGGCAAGAGACTGCTCTCTTGATCTCTTTTGCACCAGTTTTGGCATTATGACAGGATGCCAAATGATGATCCTATCAAGCTGGAGATTCGTCCACCTGGATTGTCTTGATTGTTTTTAGCTTCTCCAGGAGCTGATTCTGTCTGGCAATTGCATCAAGCAAGTCAGGCAGGGGTGGGATGCGTAGAAGCACAAAAGCGAGCTGCAGGTCTAATTGGATTGGTCTTTCAGGGTATTTCCTTTTTGGGGATTGGTTGCTTCCAAGGTTTGATCTACAGCCGAGGGTTGATCTAAACATATTCCATGTGATGTGCTGCAGAACCATCCAAGGTAGTGATTAGATACATCTACACACAGGTTGAAAGGTGTTGCGCAACACGTGATGCAGTTGTTTTCATGGCTTTTGACGTTGCACTACAGCGAGTGAGCGTTCTATGGATGTCTCCAATTCCTTGAAGACCTGGTACCATCCAATCTATTCTTATTTGCAGTCTGAACCCAACATGTCAAAGGGTCTAAAACTATTGATTGCCTTGATCTACCTTGGAAGGCTGTTCTGCTCTGTATTTGACACATGTTGACACACTATTAGAATCAATCAGTCTATTACCCCCAGTTGCCTTGCCTCTCTTCTCTTGTTTCAAACAATCTAGGAACCAAATGAATAGTGCAGGAGCTATCCTGCGTCCTACTTAGAAGCTAACGTAGCCTAGTCTAGTAGCTTACTCCCTTACTTACTTTATTCAGTAGGCGCCCACTTCATTAAGTAGGAGCGAGCAAAAACAACATCCTTTTCTGTGCGACTCCTTCGCCAGGCCGTCGGACTTCAAGGGGGTGCGACGGTGCTTGCGAGTGCTGGATTTGTCCTGCAACGAGCTCAAAGGCCTCGAGGGGTTGCAAGGTCTCTGTGCCTTGCAGGAGCTGTGACTTGTCATCGATTACTGGATTTGAAACAATGATTTTCATTGTCGGACTGACTACATGAAGGTCCAGGGTCACATATGCAACAAGGCTTCATAAAAAATGCATGATGCTCAATGACTATGAGGGGATCAATTCCAAATGCCCACTTGGGGCTTGCGATCTTTGCATCAGATGCTTTTGCTGCTTGCTGGTCAATGTCCACAAGGACTCTTTCCTCGACCAAGTCTACCGTTTGCCTCACAAGATGAGGTTTCGGTCACACGTTGGCCTGAGGCGATTGGCTTACAATCACATTGAGTGTCTTGAAGGCTGGTGTTGAGATATTGTGTTGTCACATGTTGCCACCAAATCTTGGGAGTGAGTCGCAGATCTGATCAATAGCAACGCCCATGAGCTCGTTGGACATCTCACCTGGCTTCTTTTCTTCTTTTGCTCTTTGTTGCACGGATACTTTTCTTTTCTTTGGTTTGACTGACTTTGGTAGTTTTACTTTTCACATAAACAATATTAAAACATGAACCAAGTGCCACACGGATTTGAACCTCTGCTATGTTGTTGGATGCAGTCGTTGTGGGGGTGCTTCGGGCTGTCCTTCCAAACCTGAACTCCGAACTAACGTGGTGGAGGCACCTCTGGGTGTCAGTTAAGTTCCCTAGTAGTAACAAGTGCCACGCTAGTAGTAACAGGTGCCTCACTAGTAGTAACAAAGAAGCTATTAGAAACTGGGAACCAACTCCTGGCCCTCAGGCGGAGGGAGCTTCCTTGAAGAAGCGTGAGCTACCCTGCGTCCATATGTAGCTTAAGTAGCTAGGAGCAAACTTCTCCCTTACTTGATTAAGTAGGCGCCTACTTAATGAACTAGGAGCGGGCTAAACAAAACTCCTGTAGCAGAATTTCTACCATGACCGAGTTCAGCCACTTCGCGGCGAAGCGATGCCATCGCAGTGCGTAGGTCAAATGAATTTTTGGGGCCAACGAAGTGCGCTGAAATCTTTGGATTTGAGGCCGAGGGTTGAGCTGTGATGCTTCAAACAGCTGTGGCAAAAGCAAACGACCTTCCCAAGCATGGATGGATATCCCGTCGATGTCTTTTACACTCAGGATGCGGATCCCAAATCACTAGCTCTGACTCCGTATGGAAAAAGTTTGGTGATAGATATGCAGCTACGCAACGCAGTGATGAGATTTCCTTGAGCTAGGTGGACAGCTGACACAGAAAGTTTAACTGCTCAAGTAGAACTCAAGTGGCTCTAAGGTGCTGCCTTTCTATGTTTTTCCTCAAAAAAACGAGATGCAAAGGCCTGCAGCTGCATGTTCACCGTTTTGAGATCTTTGGAGCCAAGCAGCTGCAGGTGTAACCGAATCGCTAAGCTGGCGCAGCTGCTGTTCCTGGGTGGGTCTACCAAATTGGAGGAGGTCGCGTTCCAGGACCTTGGATCTATATATTTTTTTAGCATGCCCATACCTACAGTAATTAAGTAGGCGCCTACTTGGTTGAGTAAGGGCAGTGGACGCAGGGTAGCTCACGCTTCTTCAAGGAAGCTTCCCCCGCCCAAGGGAGGGGGGAGCGCAATTGAAGAAGCGCTCGTGCTAATCATTTGGTTCCCTAGTAGCGTCCTTGCTCCTAGTAGCGATGCCAGGAGCCCCTAGTAGCGTCCTTGCTCCTAGTAGTAAGGCCAGGAGCCCCTAGTAGCTTCTAGCCCCTAGAGATTTGGTTCCTAGATTCATTTCTAAAATGCACACTTGATGGAGTCGAGAAAGGCCCCCTGTCAGATAAGTCAGGGGTGGTATGGCAACGTTGGAACATACCCACACCCTGAAGTGGAGCAAGCCAAATGAGGGTATGTTTCGGAAAGATTTGCCGTTTCTCCAACATGCCTTGCTATTGCAACAGATGTGAAAGGGGGTTGAAGATGTGCATGGTTGCTGGATACAGAAAGGACTGGGTTGGGAGCCCCTTAGGTCCAAGGCTTCCGACGGTCAAATCCGCGGTTGAATGGAGCATTTGCAGGAAAGGAGCATGGGCGATGGCGGGAATCCCATTTGTGAGGAAGTGATGTATCGACGCTTGGTGGAACAAGTTCTACACATTCCACATGCCCGGATGAAGGAACGTCTGCACGTGCTTCAAACAGAGTGATGTGCGGGTAAACCCAGATAATTACTGGAATTCTATACCTTGATTGATAGATGAGCAATGCGCAGCAATGTTTTTGCGATTGACATAATTCATACAAAGGTGGAACTCATCAATGTGCCATGTAAGCTCTGTGCAGAGCGTTTGGTCTTGCGAAAGCTTGCGAAAGCCTAAAGCGCCTCCTGCAAGCACCGAACTCAGCTGCAACAGTCACCACCCTGAAAACAAATCGCGTGAGCAAAGATAACGAACGTTTCCACAAAGGGTTTGTTGTAGAGCCCCATCCAGCCGAAATCAATGCCTCAGATGAACATCCCCCAATAGAGCCTACTCTCTTCCTTGGGTGTCCATGCGGGGTACGGGGATTTGACAGTGAAATTCTGAGGCCAGTGCGTTTTGCAGGTGCTTCCCTGGTTGAAGGTGCTGGACGGTGCTTCCCTGGTGGAGGACTGCATTGAGTCCTTAATGTTTTGTTTGTTCGCTCAACTCTCGAGCATATATGAACATAGAGTCTATAGATGAAACCACCTCCTTGGTGTTCTGGGTCATTTCCCATTGAACCAACCCCCAAATCGCCTATCTAAGCGGCCACATGGTGGTGCCCAGCGAGTTCAACGGTGAAGGACCGGGACGCCTCCACCTTGAGGCCCCGTGTGGGCGAGGCGTCCTTGCTGAGAGATCAGCTCGAGCAGGTGTGGATCCCCAAGTGTGAAAGATCAGGTTCTTCCACCAAGAGATTGTGATGACTTGTCACTGGAATTTATATAGCTTCCGCAAATAAGGAAGCACGTTTTACAACTGTCCTACTCAATCTTTTTTCTCTTGACGTGGAAACAACATATATTCATAATTGCATTATATTTTAATACATATATATATATATAATTATATATATCAATATGTATGTATCTAAATCTAAATTTGCTTCAACAACATGGCAGAAACTAGAGGGCGATTGGGAAGGGCTGGCCATTTACTGAAGAGCCTGGGCGTTTCTGCAGAACGTTTGTTTCTGGCCAGACTACATCCATATAGGACATTTGTAGAGTTTGGGACTTGGCTAAGCGTAGTATGGAGAAGTACATAGCTGACGTTTCAACCAGCATGGATCAATCAGTGCCCATGGACGGTCTCGCAGAAAAATACTTTTGATGAGCATTTAGATGAGGCTTCTGATTGGAATTTACAGGATGATCATGTTGATGGAAACGCGTCTTTCGCAGAAGGGCGTCTTTGATGTTGCGACCTTGGTTGAGCCTTCCAGGCCACAGCAGAGCTTCAACTTGCTCGCAAGCAGGCGGAGCTTGCGAAAGAAGAAGCTGAAAAGGCACAGAGGAATGGTTTGGAGGCCTTTCCAGTAGAACATTGCTTGTCTCCATGCTGATGCAGCTAATTTGTGAAAGATAGGTGGCTTCCGGGCAGTGAGCACGTCTGAAATCAAAGCTTGAAAGGATACTTCAACCTATTCCCTGACTCCACGGTGAGGCTGCCCAGGAGAGAGAAGCCACCCTGAGAAAAGCAGAAGCAGATCGTGAAGCGCGATTGCGTGCTGACTTGGAAGAGCATCTTGGGCTGAGAAGTAAGGCAATAGTTTTGATCGGACACATCTATGCTATATAGTTTTGATCGGAGCCGGGCCAATGCAGGGTTGAGGAATTTTGACATCCTAGACTGTTCTCGATTGCTACCCCTGACCATTCTCCACCTCCACCTTCGCAAAGGATCGTGGTCGTGGTGCAGAAGCATGAAGATCACTTCTCACAGCAGCTTGCAAAGTTGTCTGCAGCGGAGTCTCGGCATTACAGGCATTGAGGTTCTTTGACACCAAGGCAAGTCTGTCACGCATCGAAAGAACGCCACCCTGGTTGACCTAACATGGTCTTGGGCCCCGTAAATAGAAGCTGATTTGTGTGCGGATTTACCCTGAACCTCCGCAGATCAGCTGGGTCTGAGGATCAAGAACTTCCAGCCGCAGAAGCTGTTCAAAAGGAAGAAGCCAGGGCATTGACAGAGGAAAAGAGCTGTTGGGAAGAGCCGCTGATTTCAAAGGTGGTTGTTCTTTCAGGGTAAACCGGGTTCCGACTGGACGGATGGCATCCAACCTTTTCCGTTCAACCTGAGGAGCCTTAAAGAAGGCTTCTCAGGTCACGGGTTGAAGACTCACTACTTGACTTGCGAAGACTCCCTACAGCGGAGGGCAGCGAGAGCGGCTTGATCCAAGGCTACTACGGAGTGAGAAGAACGAACTTTCCTTGGCAGCACGGTGGAAGAGAATCTGGGCAGCATGAGAATAATGGCCTTGACATATTGCCCGGTGGCATGCAATGACTTCCTTTCAATGAACATCCCCAGGCGAGAAGCTGGATGCTGAAGAGATGTTGGCCGAATGGCACAGCTGCCGAAAACACCCTGGAATCACTTGTCCAGATGCGCAGCTCCCAGATGTTCAAGGAATGTATGTGTTCGCCCAGAACTCGCAGACTGCTGCTAAGAGTCTTTGAGTGAAGCTAAATTCGTAAATAAACGGTTTGGGGCATGGCGACAAAGGCTTTGGTGTGGTGTCGGATTTGGTGATCCCTTGATGGAGGTTTTGTTTGTGATGACAAACCCAGTTTGAAGAACAATACTATATCAATATTCTAGACCCACAGGCTTCCAAATGTCCGTTTGCATACAGACAGTTATAAAGTTATGACACATCCCGTGTGAATAACAGTGCAAACTATTACACCTGGTTCAGTCTGTTAGCCCTGGTACTAAGTATTATATATATATACACATACATGGACATGAAACGTGTTTTATCAGCCAACCACTCAAATTGCATTCTGACAGACAGGAACTCACGTGATGGCGTCTTCGAAGGGCCAGGGTTCCCCCAGCGACAAGTTGCGAAGCTGATCGGCTTGGCTTCTGATTCTGAGGTGCAGGCCATAAGATTGGACCTTGAGAGAACTCAGCGACAGCTGCAAGAGACCAGGCAAGGACCCTGGAAAAGGGGGTGTGGGGGTGTTTGGGACCACAGCTTCCTTGAAGCCATGACTTGACCGTTTTGGGATGCTTTGTTTTTTTCCTGACCTGCCAGGTGAGGGTTGTTAGATTTATCAGAGCTGTCCCGTCCTACCTCCTCCCTTGCCTCCCGGTCATCGACCGCCAGTGCTAGTTCGCAATGTTCAGCACCGGACCTCAACCGCGAGTGCTGGATTGCAGTGGGCACCACCGGACCTTGACCGCGAGCGTTGGACTGCAGTGGGCGCCGCCGGGCGAAACCGCCTCAGAATGCCAGAATATATACGAGATAGACTGCCAGATACAATGTCAGAATGTATGCCAGAACTTGAGCCAGATAGAATGCCCGAACTTATGCCAGATAGAGTGTCAGAATGTATGCCATAATGCCAGAAATTGAGCCAGATAGAATGCCAGATTTCATGTCCAGATAGACTATCAGAATATATGCCAGATAGAGTGCCAGAGAGAATGTCTTAAAATATGCCAGATAGAATGCCAGAGAGAATGTCTTCAAATATTGGAGATAGAATGCCAGCATGCACTCCAGATAGAATGCTAAGTCTTAAGCCAACTAAAACAACAACAGAATGCGTGCAAGAAAGAATGTCAGAATTTATGCCACATCATAGATGCCAGAACGCCAAATTGCATGCCAGATAGGATGCCGTATGCCAGATAGAATGTCAGAACATATGCCAGGTAGAGTGCCAGATTGCATGCCAGATAGAATGCCAGCACATGCCAGATAGCACGCCAGTACATGCCAGATAGAATGTTAAAATATATATGCCACATAGAATGTCAGAATATTTGCCAGATAGAATGCCAGAATGTATGCAAGATAGATTTCCGGGATGGCCGGGATGGCAGAACAAATTGCGGAACACATGTCATTACACATGTCAGCGCATGTCAGACTTCACGGTAGGAGCCAACAAAGACGTCGGATTACAACCCAGAACATTTTCCAACCTTTATGATAGAGGATGAGTCAGAGCACATACCAGACTTGATGCCAGAACAAGCGCCAGAACAAGTCTGTCATTACATGTGCCCTGCCTTCGTCCCAATCGCCTCTCAGGGTTGTTGTTTTCATGTTTTATTCAATGTTTCGGTGAAAATTGTTTGCTGAACACATGAGTGCACCAGATTTGTGCCGTTGTGACCGCGATTTTTCGGGGCCCTTGGCATCCATGTTCGGAGCTTGGAGTAGAGCGATGTGCCTTGCAAATTGAGTTTCCATGCTTCAAAGATTCAAGGAGTTTTCTTCATTCATGTTTGATCGCATAAGCTGGTCAAACTTGCCACTTTGATGGCAGGTCAAACTTGAAGATTTATGATGAGGAAAAATTACAGAGCTTGTCAGCGGAGGTCCAGCGCCAAGAGCTACTCGGATTTCCGTGCGTAGGAAGAACTGCTTGGGAAAGACACCTTGCAAAATCCACTTTGGGGGTCAAAGACTACTTTGACATGGCATCCATGGCATCCATGGCATTCATCACCAGCCAAGGAACATTTTGGCCGAAACTCGCATGGAGTTGTGCCGGAAGCTTATCCTGTTGAGCGACTTGACACAGTTCTCAGCTGATGCAAAGTTCGCAGACCCTGGACTCGGCGGAATCCTCCCCCGGTCTGTTTCAACGTTGAGGCGAGCAAGAAGACCTTGCAAGGCGATTGAAAGTCGATTTGGAAGCACGAAAGCAAAGGGAGCAAGTCGAAGGAAGCAGCAGAGATGGTTTTTCACATTAGATGATTAGATGTGCATATGTTTGTTCGCTCTATTAGAGCTAAGATCAAAGAACACATGATTAGAGAAACTTTGGTGAGGTTTCCTGACAAGCCCTTCAGACACAGGTGCTGGAATTTAGAGACCGCTGCAGCTGCCGGCCGCGGGAGCCTTATGGTGTTCAATGCCTTTTGTTTGTGCCATCTGTTAGATGCTACTTGTAGTTTGCAATGCAAATCAAGAATGGTCTGATTGATCAGCTATATCCAGCATGTTGAAAGCAAGCAGCCTAGCTGACTTTGTTTAATTATTAGCTACCCGATAAGTAGCAGCTACTACTGAGGTTTGGCCGCCATCCGAGGGACTTCAGCTGCTCAAGCCAGGGCAGGCGGTCGCAATCCGACCTGGAACGATCAGTCGAAGAAGTTTTTCTTGAAGATTTCTGAAGTTCTGAAGTGCTTTGTGGGTTTGAGAACGTGTTTGGCTTGAGACAAGCAAACTTACAGGGATTGAGGCATCATACCTTGCTCACTCTAACAGCAGAATGCCTCTTCTCGGGGTGCGGCTGTATCAGAGTTCTCGAGGTCAATCATTAGCAGGCTGGCTCCTCAAAGTAGTGCAGTCGTATTGATCCCAGAACAAACAAAGTGCTTGGATCTTTGTTGGCATGCCACCTATTTTCACTTGCGCCATGTCAGAACGTGGCAGACCAAACGCAAGCGGACAAATGTTCTCCCGCAAGCGGACAGACTGTTTCTGCATGATGTGATCCTCGGATCTTCTCGGATTGGACACGATGTGACGACCAAGAATCAGCAGTAATCCATTTGACCCTCAGATGATTTGAGATGTCCCTCGTTTCATGGTCCGAAATCGCCGTCCTTCCCCCTCTTTTCTTCTCGAAGAGGCGTTGAGGAGGTGGCGGCACAGACCTGCTTGGCCGAAGGCTATGAGGAGAGTTGCTGCCTTAGCTGCAAAAGACTCCACTAGCGATGCACTTGTTCCTAGTAGCTTCTTGTTACTACTAGTAAGGCACTTGTTACTAGTAGCGATGCACTTGTTACTAGTAGCTTATTGTTACTAGGTGTAAAAGACTCCTATAGATTAGATTGTCAATGGGGGTTTGCCCGTTGCTGGAGGCCGTACTCGTACATTTGCATTTCATATAGACCACAAGCGGCGCAAGTGTTTCCATTTCGTGGGCTAGCCCCGGGCCCCGATAGTCGCTGGATATGAAGTTGAATAAGTTCTTCATGTGCAAGTCTGATACTTCCTGAAGATCGGTGATGACCGGTGTACATGAAAGCGTCCCCTTGCCTTGTGCTCTTTGCACTGCACGCGGCCTGTTGCCCAGGTTTGTCCCGCTACCGAGCTGAAGAAGCTCAACTTCAGAAGGTCAGGGCCGCAGCGGGGATTTGTGGAGCGAATAATGGCAAACTGCGGATGTCGCACAACATTGGCAACACCGCCCCTGTCATGACATGTGTCCCAACCAGAATTTGACCACGTGGCATGTTTAGATCTGGTTCAACGAAGACCAGCTCCACTACATTGTGTGCAGATTATGCATATTGATGTCTATTCAATTCTATCCACTATGTTACCATGTTCGCTATTTCCTGATGTCAATAGTAAAAAAGAATGCAGCGCCAAATTCGGGATGTTGCAGATGTTAGCACTGTTAAGTTAGCATGTTGCAGATGTTCTCTACTCCAGGATTGCAAGAGACACAAAAGCACCCCATGTCTCATGCCGCCACCAAGGCCGAGCTTAATCTCAGGCATGAGACAGACTCATCAGAGCAAGAGTTGTCCGAAATGCCTGTAGGAATAAGACCAAGCAAGCTATTATTTGAAGAGAGCTTCCAAGGGCTTCGGTCGTGTCAGAGGCTTTCACATCGTTTTTTGCTTCAACTTCGGAGATGCAGTAAATAGAAACGGTGTCCAGTTTAATTCCAAAGGGGACTTACTTTCTATATCTTTCTATTTCTTTTTGGATGCCTATCCCTGCTTCGAGGCCGCATGCTGCAGCTCAAGAACAAGGTGTGGGACTGTGGGACTTCATTTCCCTTAGCTTTACATGTGATACCAGGTAATCTCTGGCAGATGAAACTATAGAAAGGGTGGAAACTTCCTTTCATCATATCTTGCTGTCCAAACTAGATAAGTTCTGGCAGACCTCCATTTGGAGACTCACAGCTGCTAAGAGCTAGTGCTATACTGTAGGTGACATCGGTGACATGGAACACCTGCTGCGATCACGCGACCGTCTACGCTTGGAGATCAAAGAACTGGAGGGTGCTCAGAGCACCAGAGGTGGAGCTGTCAGCATTTTGGAGGCTCCGGCACACCGTCACACCTTGTACTAGTTACTAGATGCCCGTCAGCAACAAGAGGTAATAAAGAAGGGAAAAGAAGATCAGAAGCAGATGGTTTTGGGAGTTTTAAATATACGTTCTTTTGTCTTTTGGCTTCATGTTCATCGATTGCACCACACCGGAACACCATCACGCTGGTAGGAGAAGCTTCAGTTGGGCTTAGAGCAGGCGGGCACGTCCTGGAGCAGTTTGTTGTTGAGTTTCAATTGTCCAACTTGGTGTAACAACCACTTTGCTGGATCAATAGTTGATATGGGAGCGCAACAGTCTTGCAAGCCATCAGACATACTCTGACATTTCATCAGCTTGGATTCTTCAGGCTCTACAAGCACTTCAGCAAAGCCATGCACGCTTGTCAATGCTTGAAACTGATGTGGAACAGAAGGGGAAGGCTGGTCCGAGCGTGCGACAAGACGCTTATTGATGTGACCCCGGCTGAATGGGTCTACCCCCTTAAAAAGCACATTCGACCCAAATATACATGTTGAATTGGTGAAAAACGCTTGAAGTTGGACTTCCTCCTGAACTAGCGAGATCAATGTAAACTTTGCTTATTGACTCGTAAACACAAACACTTTATGTATAGAGGCATCGAAGCATGATGAGAGGGTCAATGAGAAGGAACCTCGCTCTTGTGTCTTCTCATCGGGCAGTCTTCTGGAACCCTTAAGCGTCCCTAGGGACCATAGCTCATGACATGTGTGGGTGCTCCCAGGCCCACAAGCTGGCGCAGAAACAGGACAGTTTTCAATGGGGAAGAAGAAACATTGGGAGTCCCCCATCCCAAGAGGGCTGTGCGGAGATGAGTGGAGAGGATTGCTCCGTTCAAAAGGCCCCACATGGCTTGAGTGACATGGAGAACACGACTACCTTGTGACGTTCTGATTGGCTTCCTGAAAATCCAGACCTCGAGACAGGAGGAGTTAGATCGCTTGATGCTCTCAGAGATGAAGACTCAGCTGGAGGGCCCAGTGGGTCGGTCGAGATGGATACTCCTGACCCACCTCCTCAAGACCCGCTGATTTCCCAGGCTGATGATATCAGATGCGGTGAAGTATGCGGTATGCACTCGTTACCGTATGGAAGCTACTAGGAACAAGTGCCTTACTACTAGTAACAAGTGCCTTACTAGTAGTAACAAGAAACTATGCATTCACTCGTCCTCTGGGTGCTTTTTTGGATCTCTTGGACCGACAGAATTTGTGTTCCCGTTACAGTAGGTCCCTCTTTGAATGTTGAATTGATGAACCCAACTCAGGCACAGAATGTCCAGCAAATTACCAGACTTAGGTTCAAAACGAGTGTTTTTCATGGGTTGTTCTGCTCACGAGTGTTGTTTGTTTTCATTTTAGTTTTAGGCCATGCCCTTGATTGAACCAGTGACAGCATCCACTGTGACAGTCCATGAAACGGTTTAAACATGTTTAAACAGTTGAAAGATGCAAAACTCTGTGGAACATAGGCGTAGAGACGTAGAAGCACTGGGACATCAGCTGCAGATGTTGCTTGCTTGAAATGCCTGCCTGGGCCCTTCTTCGTCCCAAAGTGACTATGCAGGCATTTGGTTCGCCAATCGTTTTGGCTGCCAAGGTTGACACAATGCAGAGATGCCGAGCGCAATATTTTCCTTCAGGCAAAAAGTGTATCCCAGAGACCAATCATCCAGACTCTACTTCTCGCTTTTTTTGCATCACCTATATATATTATATGTATACATACAGCATACTATATTTATATATATATATTATATGTGCATATGTGACATCATATGTGTGCTGCAAATCACACAGCTAGATCCAAGTGAACAGATTGCGAATCATTGCACGCCGGACTGAGACTGAGAGTCGTCCTCCAATGCAGGTGAGCCAAAGATTGGGGGATACCACTTCAATCGAGGTTCAGGCCATCTCGGCTGCCATGGAATGCACAGCTATTTGAGCCCCAAAAGTTCCTACAGTCACAGGGTTTTCCAAGGCGTCCCGGGGGTTTTCCACTGTAAATCAGAATTCATCCAGGATGATTCTCCGATCATGTGATCCAACCAAACCTGAACAGAAGTGGTGAAGTTCCACGTGGAGAGTGGAACAACATAGACCACATCTCAATCCCTTTTTTTATTTGACAGCATCCATGCGATTCGAGGTTTGTGTCCAAGGTCTTGGTTGCTATCTTGGAGCAGAACAGTGTTGAGAACCGTCAACAGGTCCACGATGCCATGGAGAACTTTCAATTCGCCCAGAAGAAGATTCAGGACAGAGATTTATGTTGGGATCTCAATTTGTAGAGCCTCAATAGCAGAAGCTCCACCCCATAGAACTGCAGAGATCGAGAATTCACGACAAAAAAACGATCGTCGATGACACTGCGATACCAGAACACTTCTCTTCCGTGGATGTGAACGGACTGGGCCAAAATGGGTCCCTCAGCTTTCCAGGAATCATGGTAGGTTCACCAAGGTTGGCAAGTGTAGGAAGAAGATGGGTGTGTGTTTTAATTGATACCGTGGCCCTGGCTGGGCAGACTGGTCTATTTCCCTTCTTCGAGGGAGTATGTGAAGAGGTCTCCCTGGCGGAGTATTGTGCACAACCTCCCCAACACGCCCGTTCACTCAAGAAAATTGCTGGGAGATCTGGATCATTCCGCTAGACCCTTTAAGTACAGTATTGAAAAGCAATAAACAGTATTTAGTAAAGGTTGGAATCAAAGGACCCTGTGATTCTACACAGCTTCTATACAGTCTTGGTCGCCGATTGATGCTGCAGGAGCTGGAAAAGCTCCGTAGCTCCTACGTGCAGCAGAGGGATTTTGCTGCGTGTGTCGAGGTGGACGATGCTGGGAAGCGCAAAGCGCTGTGGTAGTTTGGATCAAACAACTTGCCAAAGTTGGGGTGTAAAACCTGAGATCAAACAAGTTCAAGTAAGAGATAAAGAGAGGTCTAGAAGAAGAAGAAGAAGTGTCACATTTCGAGAGCCAACTGTGTCATTTGTTTGAGTCTCAAACCTGCAGAAGATGTTTTTGGGGCCAAACTCTGTTGGTTGCCACCAGATGCCCTTGGCGAAGTACCTCTCAATGATTTGGTAGCACAGTGCTGGCGTGAGGCCGTCCAGGCGACCAAAGAGGAGCTGCGAAAGCTAGGTGGGCGGATGGCCAGCATTACACTAACCAGATGGCCAGCAACTCACTTCTTCAGGAAAGGAGGGTGGGTCTCACCATCCAATTTGCCAAGCTATCAAGCTTGCCCCCCAGCTCCGTGCTCCAATGTTCAGGTGAAGAAAAGTTGCAGAAGACCTCTCAGCTTGGAGGTTCGGGTGCTTTGTCCAACCTGTACAACAAAAGCAACAGAGCGAAACGAGCAACACCTGAAGCATTGCTTCGCCAGGACTTCAGGCTGCTTTGGAGACACGTCGAGAGGAGACCGGGCAATGCACGGACACCAGAGTAGCAAAACAACCACGCAAACCAACAGGGACCTTGAAATGGACCGTGGAAGATGATTCTGATGGACAAAGTATTGTTCTTGAAGGAGTTGACCAGTTGCTGCATCCATTGATGCTTTGTGTTGTAATTCCTTGGGGCTTCCATTCTTTCTGGGATCTCGTTTCTCAACAGTTTTCCACATGCCATCAAGTGTTGACAGTAACTTTCACGTGATATTTTGCTAATACATGCTGATATACCGGCATAAGCTCACAAGCATTCATCGGAATTCTTGAATTCTTTGCGGGTAGAAGCTACTTATCACCCAGGAGTGATGGCAGCTGAGACTTCAAATGTGACCACAGGAACTTAGCAATATGCTGCAGAAGCTACAAGACTGCCAAGCCGAAGGGGAAAGCACTCAGACAAAGCTGGTGTCTTAGTTTATGGCATTAATATATGATCATCAATGACCGGTTCAACGCCTGAACCACGTTTTCCACCTGGTTGCAGTCCTTGTTGACTGAGCATCTTGCAAGTCGGGCATTGAAAGTTGATCACATGCTGTTCCCAGGCTGAAGATCAAGACACACATGATTGCCGGAATCCAAGGCTTTGAGCATGATCCAAATGGACATGATCTGGATGAATGAGTGGACTATGCATTAGTCACATCGGTGATCCACTCGTGCCACCGTCTCCTGCCTTTGCCCAGTCCGGTGCTGAGGGCGATGCGGCGCTGCAGATGGGCGAGCTTCGACAATCTTTGTCAGAGGCATACTGTGACGATCCATGGCATAGACAGAAGATGAACAACCATGAAAAAGTATCACCTCTTTTTTGGGGGGGAAGGGGGGTAGGCCGCTAGAGGTGAGGTAGGTAGCTAGTAGTAGCTAGGGACTCGCTAGTAGCTCAAGTAATTAGCTACTACTTTAGACGCAGGATAGCTCACGCTTCCTTGAAGTAGCGCTCGCACTATTCATTTGGTTTCTAGATTTTTAGGGAAACTTATATAACGTTTTGACAACTCTCTTAAGCTACGAGTACCTTCCTGTCTTGCTTCTTGGTTGCTTCCTTCCTTGTTGCTTTGCTGTTTTTCATCTTCCCCTCCTTCCAATCTATCTACATATGAAGAATATATCTATATCATATGTTTTCTCTTTACCTCTTCATTATTTTCTATATCGAGATTCGATTTGATTGTTGATATGCAGATGTGTGATGGCGTGGGAATTGTTGAAACTTCTTCGCATGGCATCTAACTGGCATGTAAAATCTCTCTGATTTCAAGGTTGGACCGAGAGCAGTCACATGATCCATCTCAACACTATCCAGAGACTATAAACCTTTGACGCCTTAAGGTTTTTCTTGATCTTTCTAATTTTAATTTCAGTAGTTTTTTTCTCCAAATGAGTTCGTTCAACTGCAGGCAGGAAGGCTGAAGCAAGAGTATCAGACTCAGAACCGTGATCGAGTTGCAAGATTGGGCTTTGTTACAGGTCGCAAAGTCCAAGGTACTTGCGGTTTTTGTTTACTTGGTACTTGCGTTTCTTTTTTTTGTGATGGGGTAGGATAGATATTTTTTGAACACAACTTGCCCAACGCAAAGACATCCTGAGTGGCTAAGGAATGACCTTGCTTGGAGAGACAGACTTGCAGAGGCGCTTAGTCACATATGCCAAAGCTCTGAGTTTCAATGCCAACGGCACGTTATTGTTCCGACATAGGTTCGTTGCCTGCAACCTTGCGTCGTAGTGATGCCCGGTCCAAGCTTTTGCAGACCTATTTTCTTCAACTGTTTCCAATGATTTCCAATGCATTTTGCAGGCAACTGCGCGCGTGGATGAGTACATGGAACAGGCGGATGCCCTCCATGGCTTGAATGAAGAACAACAAGAAGAAGCAGCCAAGACCTCAGCTATGATCCGAACAGGCTCTACTCGGAAGAGATGGGCCCAGGCCCAAACCTATTGGCTTGGTCAGTTGTGGCGGACGAACCGTCCGGCGGGTTCGCTACTTTTGCCCGTCTCGTCGGCTGACATCTGCATTTGTCGTCACCCACGGCCAAGTTCTTTGCGAAGGAGCCGGATGATCCAGGAGTCGAATCTGGAAGCGAATCAGATGAATGAACTTAGTTGATTCCTCACCAAACTCCCTACTTGCCACAGCTGACCTCGGCCTTGACACCCAGAGACATCAGTGCGAGGCCAAGCTGTGCCGGATTGTCGAGGCCAAAGGACAGGGAGTTTCGATTAAGCCCCACAGCCGAAAGCACACAGCTTGAATCAAAAGAGTCCCTCTGAAAGTTGTTATATGAACCGGACGTGTTGCTGCATCACTGTTTGTGCCAAATCAGCCGATCTAATCCCGAGTACATCCGAGTACTTATTAAACACATTCCTCACTCCTCTATTTTAAAAAATACTGTAACACCATGTCCGAAACCCTAAATACGGTGTATATATATATATAATATGTGTTTTTAAATCACCGCCCTTAAAAACCGCTACTAAACTACCAACATGGTCGACTTTGGCGGAGTTCTTTTTATTAGGTTTCAAACACAACCCTAACTGCCCACCTCTGTCTACCCTGTCTGTCCACCATGAGGCCGCGCAAAACGGCATGGCACAGCGACATCACCTTTCGAAAGCTTTGGTTGTTTGTCTAATGAAGAAGCATTCTTCATAAAGGTTTTTGTCAAGAGAAAAGGAAGACCCTTCGACCTGGAGCTTGTTTTGTTTTTTTTTTTAAATCTTTTGATACAACTTTAACAACATATTTTACTGTGTATAAAACTTTCCAGGGTGACTTTTCGGGTTTGAAGCTCTTACGGTTTCCGCACGAAATTTGCACTTCAAGCTTCACAAAGCGCTGCGCCTGCCAGGAAATCTGCAAGTCATATGTAATCAATGATAATTCAAAAGGATCCTCCCACTGACCCTATTTTGGACACCCTGATTTCAGGGACCCGCAACCAAAAAAAAACACCCGAGTCTTTGTTAATAGGGGGTCCCATAGTCATGCATGGTCTGCAGGTCTGGGTGGAGCAAATTCCAGACGCATTTCGCATTCGTCCAGTTCTTCGGACTTCGACCTTTTGCTCTCCAGGAGAGCGGAACCACTTTGTCGAGTTGCAACTGGATCAAGTGCCTGGGGACTCAGTGCAGTGGAGAGACTTGGGCACCGGAGTGGGGTGTCGTGCCCGGGACTGGAGCGAAGAAGGCCACCGGACCTGACCACTCGACGGCTGAAGGTGTATTTTCACTCTTTTTTGCTCGTTCTTACTTAATTAAGTAGGCGCCCTACTTAAGGCAAACTACTAGCTAGGTAAGCTACTAGCTAGAACGCAGCATAGCGCTCGTGCTATTTATTTGGTTCCTAGGCAGACGGCCTAAAGCGAGACATGTTAATGTTTCGCATATACACGCGAGTCTTTCCACACGTTAGTATGCCCAGCAGGAAGTGAGAAGTCAGACAGATAAACCTGCAAGGCAGCGACTTGCGGCGGACAAGAAGAGTTTGAGACTGAGATCACACAGATTGCTTGAGCAGCAAATACATACCCCGGTCAAGCGCCACACACTTGTTCGGAGTGGTAGGAGCTGGCAGCTAGCAGTTGAACCGTCCTTGTGAAGATTGTTGCGTATGTCAAAACGCTAAGGCAGTCTCGAGGCCAAAGCACAAGCAATGCAACAGGAAAGCGCACAGATCATGAACGAGGTCCAGTAGACCTTGACTTGGCCTGTCTTCAGCTGGGAGGAATGGAACTGCTTCAGAGAGCTAGACACTCGCATTTTGGGAGGATAGAATACCATAAGAGAATGATCGAGAATGTGCTGATACACCATGATACACCACCAATTGGTCAGAGCACTTTCTGGTCCTAGATGTCCTCGGTTGTTTTCCTTTTTTTTTGGTCTGCCAAAGTTCCACAGTTGCCCTATATATCCTATATACAGTATATATCTTGAGGTTCTTGAACACAAAGGGGCTCTCATCTCCAAACGCGTTCGTAGGACTTGTGGGACCTCCGTATTTTTTTTGCAAAGCGATCAGAGGGATTTGCTCAACCATTCTCCATCGCACTCTGCTCGAGGCGCGCTGGGCTTCCTCAGAAATGGAAGAGCGCTTTCGGCTTCAACGTGCTGAGCAGCTTGAAGAGGAACGACGAGCCAGGCTTTCGGTCCTGGCCGGTCAAAGCTGCGGACCACTTTGGGCGCTTTGATCTTCGGGTATGTTTTAGAGGGTTGGCGTGGCCTTTGTACCTAGACCTAAGCCCGAATGTGCATATAAAGTGCATGGGAGGGAGTGGCTTTGATAGGCAAGCATAGGCAAGCAACGATTTTTGGCTCCAAGCGCTGGGCTTTTTCACAGCATTTCAACGGGTTCAAGTGAAGCAGGGCCCCACCGAGGAGCAATCTGATGGGATCTCAACAGGTTCTTGAAACGAAAGAAGCTCCTGTAGGAGAAAACTTGTGGAAACGAGGAGGAATCCCCCAGGATAATGTGGGTGTGTAAAGTGTCCTTGGGCTCTTGGAAACCAGTGCAACCCACAGCGAAACGCGTGTCTGCCTGCGGTTGCCAGGTCTCGTTTGCTCGTGCTGCAGCAGCAGCTCAGAGCAGCACCGCAAAACCTCGAGAAGCTAAGGCAACACCTGACACAGGAGAAGCAGACGCTCCGAAAGTTGGGGCTGATGTCATACTGATGGGCGGTGCGGCACTGATAACCCCCAAACAAAACGAGGACAAGCATGTACTATATACTGTTTTGGGGTGCGGTGTTAGCAATTTCAGTGCATTCTGAAGGATTGCAACACTTTTCGTAGGCCCTTGTAGTTCCATTGATGAAACCCTAGTGACGAAACTTAGGGCCCGGCGCTTTGCAGGAGCGCATGACCTCGAAAGAACGTGTGCGCAGATTGCTCGCCACTCGTCAACGGCCTGCGACGCTGGCCTTCGTCCAATAGATTTCGCTTCATCACATCGGGGGAAGTAATACAAGAAATGACTACAGTCAATGTCATCAGGATGATTACAGCCTCAGCTAGCTGGAGTCGCTCTTGCTTTCGCAAGTTGTTTGAGAGGGTGGACGCCACCCTCAAAGACCTCAAATCATCAATCAATTCCCAAGGGTTCAACTCCCACTGTTGGCGTCGTTACTGGCTGAGTGTGACAGGGTCATGGCTCCCGTCGTTTCCCATTAAACACCTGATGTTGAAATCCTATGAACCCATGCCATGAACAACAAGACCCAACTGAATCTAAGGGTTTTCAATCTTGATGGCCATCCACCCAGCCCCATTGGACACCACTTCCCCGCACAACCAGAAGCTCCTCATGTGCATCTTCCAATGGAGCAGCTGCATCAAAGATCTCATCGTTCGGAATACCTCAGCGGATAATGGATGAAACTCATGGTTCCTATCAATCCCCATGGTTCCTATCATCTCATCCCACCAACCCTGCTTTGGAAAACCCGCGCAAGCGGCGCCACCCCCCTGGCCGCTCCAATGTGTGCCTTCTTGGGTTGTCGGAGAAAGAGTGAGCGGTCAAAAAGGGTCCAAACCCAGACGGGCCATGTAAGGCCCATTTTTGGCGAGATGAACGTGGATGACATCTCGTCTCTACCTGTATGCTATGTTTGTTCACAGAAACTATATAAACGGCTAGACTCTAAACCGTTCCTTGTGCCCATCACGTACGAACACTTGCACCAGTCTTAATTGCGCTTCAGATGAACAAGGAAAGAGGCAAGGCATATTGACATGAAAAGAGTCAGAGTCAGAGGTTCAGCTTGCTTCTAGAACACTTTGCACTTCCATCCTGCCAAAGTAGATGAACGTGGTTTCTGGATTAATTAATGTCAGTTGAAACTTTATCACGCTTCATAGTTACTTTTTGTGATTGGGACAACCTGTGTACTGAGTTTGCTGAAACCTAAGCGAAGATGCTGTGAGTGAAACGGACCAATTGTCAGAAAAGGGTTTCTCTTCCTGTGGGTCGACTGAGGCCAATTTCGAGACCCCAGCTTTGACAAGCGGGTGACATGGCGATGGCATGAGAGTGGCCGGAGTGCAGGCTGGCATTGCTGGATTTTGATCAGGATCCACCACCATTCAACGACAGTGTGTTTTCTGATGTTTTCTGAGAACTGTCTTCGCCCGTCTTCCCTGAAAGCATGCCGCTTCGAGGACATCCTTAAGAACTACTTCTGCTGTCAGATTGAACACCGAAGCCTGCGGCTCTGCCTCACTGCAGATTTGGATGTGGAGATTCGATAGGATTCGATTCAAGAAGCCGCTCCTTCTCTCGCGGAGGACCATGACTGGTGAGGATCGGTGAGGATGGAGTCGTTTGTCACACCCGGCGGGTGAGGATTGGATGACCATGATCGGTCCCCGCAGTTGACCTTGAAGGTGGAGATGATGTCCTTGGACTCCAAGGACGCTGTTTGAGGAGGTGAATTCTTGGCGCAGCTTCAATTGAGGCATGCGGAAGGGAGCTCGAAAGCTTCCAATTCCCGTATGGATGACCACTGGAGATGAAAAAGAATCGGCAAGCAGCAAAGTGCAGCAAGCTTGACAGGGTCGTTTCATGTCTAATGTCGACTCAGTTCATTTCCCAGCCACATCTTATCTTTGACATGAGGGTGATTCTCCAGATTCCGTTTGGTACCATTCTGAAACGTTGCTTTTTGCCATAACCCGCGGCCTTCAAGGTAGGAATTTCAGGCCTTCCCCTGTCAGCCCAGCGGCTGGCGCACCACAGTGTGCTTGGCTTAGGGGATTTGTCGTTGTCTTATTCCATTGTTTTTGTTTCCTGGAGAGAAGACATGCAAAGGCTAATCAAGGCTTCCAATCAGTCAAGTACACACCATAGTGACATAATGTGACATAGAATTTTGCAGAGCTATATGCACTTGGTCCCAAAACGGCGGGCACAGTGAATTGAGTTTTACTGCTCGCACTAAGCTGCGCTTTTGCACAGCATTGACACGGAAGTTTTTGACAGTCGAGGCAACACCTGTACCAACAGACGTAGTAGTTGAGGAACGTGGCATAGGTGTGATGATACATCCGATTACATCCGTGCGCAACTTGTACATGCAGCGAATGAAAGCAGGCCTTTTGTTGTTGGCTCGTGGAGCTTTTTCTTCGACCAACAGTTATGAAATGACGGCAATGGAACACGCGTGCTTTTTAAAGAGGTGCTGCCAGTTGGGTTTTGTCGCTGACGGGGCATTCAGCTGAAGCATGGCCCAGCCCCTAGATGTGGTCCGAATGAACGCCAATCAAATTGACATCATGTGGCAGACAGTAGTCGTGAAATCATGTAGCACTCGCTCAGAATCATTATGTATATAATCCTTGGATGAATTGGATGTGTATGGTCGCACACCTGACTTGCAAAATCAAGGCACATTTGCTGCTAAATGTTGTGATTGCCAAATTCTTTTTGCGACCTTTTGCGCCTTTCGAAGGTGGCGCCAGCTTCGGACCCGTTGCGCCCGATTTCAGGAGTCATTTCAGCAGTATGTCAATGAGTTCCGAGACCTGGCCAAGAGGCCACGCTCCTTCCTCACACAGGCGCGCCTGGCCGTCAATGAAGGTGCTATTTACCGGACCTATGGGCCTATTTCTTAATTGGGGCTGCAGGACGTCATTCTGCATGGTGACACCTGGATGAACACATCACATGGAAGTGGAAAAGCTCCTGTTTGTTTTCCACTTCCATGTCAGTGAGAGAGAGTGTAAATATAGATTATCCTTTTCACCATGGCTGGCAGGTGCTGAATCTGGGCTGCATTGTCTTCTCTGCGCTGATGCTTTGGAAGGGTCTGATGGTGGTGACCAAGAGCGAAAGCCCAGTGGTCGTGGTGCCCAGAGACAATCAATCTCTTGCAAAGGTGAAAAGGCGAACATGTGAAGGATCTAGACATATCATGACATATCTATATGATTCTGTATGGAATCCATGTTTGTCCATCTTAAAATTTAAGCTGCAAATAAGAGGGTGGAGTTCTGTGACACCTGCATTTCTAGGTCGTGGTGCTCAGTGGCAGCATGGAACCTGGTCTACAGAGAGGAGATATTCTGTGGCTCCGCTGCATAGCCCCAGATAAGATAGCAAGCCTGTAGACTCGTAGGCTAAGCAGTTCGCTCTGCAACTGAGGTTTCTCACTTTGTACTCCGAGCCGCGTGACACTCAGTCTGCCCTGGGCTTCAACTCAATCACTTCTCCTAGAAAGGGCGGCTCAGTCTTCAACATGAGACTCCGACTCCAATCCGCCAAGGTTCAAGCCCGGTGATGTAGTTGTTTTCCAGATTGAGGGCAGGGTATCGCTGGCTCTTTTTAGCAAAGTGCCTTTGGCAGTTGAAAGGAAGCAAGCAACGTCAAGGAACAGCGCTACTCTATACCGTTAGACCAAGCTTTGCTGTTTCGGTCAACTTCTTTCCCTGGATGAGCCTTGACCCCGCGAGGGTTTCAAGCCTTTTGGTTCTGCTATTCCAATCTATTCCATGGAGTTCTCCAGTAGTTGCTGGAGCATGACCATTCGTCGCGGAGACAGGTTGAGCCCAGCGGTCCGCTCTCTCGCCAGGATATCCCGATCGTACATAGAATGCTAAATGTCCATGAGAAGGAAGCTTCACGCTCAGAGTCGAGCATCCTGCTTTGACTTGGATTGACAGTCTCCGCAGAGGGACTACTGGGAATCGTGAGCGCTAAGGATGGGAAGCTTGCTATGCTCACAAAAGGTGACAACAATCAGGCTTGTAATGGTCAGCTTCAATGATCTGTATTTATAGTATATTAACATATATATATGTATAATGTATATAATATATAATATATAAATATATATAATATATATAATACATATAGATATTTAATTTATCTATATATGTACAATATATATATATGCATCCAGGAAGACTCATGATTTGCTCCGCAGGTAGATGATAGAGGATTGTACGCTGCTAGGCCGATCGGGGTGACTCTTCACAAGTCGGGAAGAAGAGCACCTGGTTCTTCTTGGCGTTTGATGCTAATTCTTTGGGCGAACTGTCCTAGCTTTGTGGGGGAGAACCGGACAGCGCAACGCTCTCTCGCAGGCAGCTTTTCCTCAGCAGAAAAGAGATTATGGGGCGGGCCGCAGACCAAGCTGTTCTCTATCGGCGCTTTCTGATCTCAGGATATCACTGGTTTTGGTTGACTTCGTCAGAAAGTGTTGGAAGTCACCGTGAGTTTCCAAGGCTCAGGCCTACTTGCCCTATGTCGGAATGGTTACGATTTGGTGCAAGACTTGGAAGTATCATGGAACGAGGACAACTACAAGAATGATCAAGAACTTAGCACTTAGTAACTTAGTACTTGGTCATCATAACATCAAGGTGCAGCCCAAAGGTGCCAGAACGATTTCTTGGTACTCATCACAGCTGTTTATAGCTTTTGGGGATCTTGGGATCTTGGGGTCTTGTTGATTTGCTTTGTGGCAATTCATCCTGGCAAAGACCAGAACTGCCATCATCCACTTTGAGAAATGGCAGCTGTCGAAACTCGAAAAACGAGTCAGTCATCTTGATGTGCCATCTTGGTTGAGGTTGAATGACTACCCCTGGCTAAAGTATGTGCTGATTGGTTCCATGGGCTTTTTCGAATCTTGGACTGCAGCAAGGGGGTTGGAAGGGCCGGTTGTGGCAGACGAAGAGTTTGTTTTGTTCTCACGTGGGCTGAGGTGATCATTGGTCGAGAATGACATTTGGGCAGACAGGGGAAGAGTTGGACAACGTCCCAAGGTGGGAGGAGAATGTGGAATCCATGCATCAGACAGCATTTTGTTGGTCTTGACACAACACACATAGCTTAGTTGGCTCGTGTTGGGCAAGCAGGCCAGAGAAACCAAAGCACTTAGTGTAGTTTCTGGCATTTGTGAGGCCAGATCCGAGGCCTTTTGAGGCATGTGGGTTGTCACGGCTCTTCTCACCATCAGATGGCGACATCTGGCCCATTAGCTGAATTCCCTGGTCAACAGCCGGGGATCAAAATGTTAGAGGTTTGATGACGTTTGGGTGAACTTCCAAACACCCATAGATTTCAACATGCGCAAAGCGGCACAGGGGGTCACGAAAGCAGAATGCATTTGAGACCAACATCTCATGTAGATCAACCCTGGGACCTGAACCGGTTCTCATTGATCATGGAACGTAACAGGCTTCACGAACTTCACTGAGACGAAGCCAAAACAGAGACATCGACACCAAAAGAGGCAGACTCGAGTCTCACCGGACAGCAAAGTCCCATTTGCAGCAGGAGCAGGGAAGCGTGCACCTGCAAAGAGCTTTGCGAGCTTTGGAAGCTTTGATCCATGAAGCCAAACAAGATATCCAAGCCCATTTTGTACCATGTAGATGATCCAAGCGGCGTTTGACAGGCAGCAAGATAGCCACACGGGTGTAGCATCGTAGTTGCATTCCAGCAACATTGACATGAGCTGCGCTCTCCGTTGAACGGATTGAATGATCATTAATGATATATATAGAGATACAAGTGCAACATTCACGTATCATGAAGACACACGCTGCATCATGCTGCAGAGTCGAGTCCAAAGATCGGCTTGGAATTGTTTCCGCACCTGGGCCCAAGCGTTGCGCTGTCGTAGCTCAGAGGGTGTCCCTGGGTTGCAGCTACTGTATGAATGCAACACTGATGGACAGAATGCGTTTCAAATGGCCTCAACAATTCTCTGTATCACCCAGGTGCCGGCGATGAGCCCCCGAATATCCAGCTGAAGTATGGCCCAGCCTCCCAATATTCGTGGAATGGAAGCGTTTGAAGCATATCAGAGAAACGATTTGAGGATATTCGAGGTAATTTTTGTGCATTTGCCTGTCATCCTTAAACATCCACAGCATTGAACGATCATTTCCAAATGAAATAAGTTGTGCCTTTTCTTAGCAGCCCTAGCACATGATAGATCTACAAGAGCCATATGAGCTACATATATATATATATATGTTATTGACGCACATACGTTACATTCACACAAGGTGCATTTTAGTGTCAAGACTTCAGCTGCTTCCAACTTGCACCAGATTTCAGGAGATCCTTCGGCAGTATACCAACGAGTTGCGCGATGTCGCGAAGAGACCCCGGTCCTTCCTCACCCAGGTGGGCCTCACCAGCGACCTTCGGTGGGCCTGGCCGTGCCATGTCTGGCCGCCTGGCCGTGCTCCATTCACACCGCGCCACAGCTGGCAGGTGCTGAATCTGGGCTGCATTGTCTTCTCTGCGCTGATGCTTTGGAAGGGTCTGATGGTGGTGACCAAGAGCGAAAGCCCAGTGGTCGTGGTGCCCAGAGACAATCAATCTCTTGCAAAGGTGAAAAGGCGAACATGTGAAGGATCTAGACATATCATGACATATCTATATGATTCTATATGGAATCTATGTTTGTCCATCTTAACATTTAACCTGCATTTCTAGGTCGTGGTGCTCAGTGGCAGTATGGAACCTGGTCTACAGAGAGGAGATATTCTGTGGCTCAGCTCCACAGGAACTTTTGGTCAACGATGGTGTTGTGCTGCCACTTGCGCCCACCTCATGTTTTGACCTGAGGTTTCTGTCGTTGTACTCCGAGCCGCCCGAAGCTCAATCTGCCGCAACGTGTCCAAGAAGTTGAAGAAGCCATGCTCAAAGGATCGGTTGGAATCCACGGGGTGCATCGCGATCCGCCCAACGGATGTGCTTTTCGATTTTTCGGATTTTAAAGACAATATAGGCATATGAGTATATCATAATATACACCCCAGATGGCCCCGGACATCTGAAAGACACATGGCGGAAGCTTTGAAAAGCTGAGGTTCATTCCCGGTGATGTCGTGGTTTTCCAGATCGAGGGCAGGGCATCTCCAGCATGTTGAGCAGCCGGCCAGCCGGACAGAAAAGAAGAAGTCCACAATCTTGGAGCGAGCCAGTACAGAAGAAGGCACTTCCATGATGCTGGTCAAAGAGAGGAGTCAACTACAAGGAATACGTTCTTTGCTGCCAGGATATCCCAATCGTTCATCGAATCATGAATGTCCACGAGAAGGACGTTTTGGGCTAAGAGTCGAGCATTCTGCTTGCTTCGAGACTATTGCTCCACAAAAGAAACGCGTGATGACACGAGCTGTGCTCACTAAGGACGGCAAGCTTGCTGTGCTCACGAAGGGTGACAACAATACGGCGGGGGCGACAGACTGTCACGTTGACGCACATCCGACACCAGACATCCGACAGTCTGGAATCATCTGGAATCGGTCAGTGAGGGAGTTTCTGCAGGTGGGTGATCGAGGATTGTATGCTACGAGGCGCTTCGGATCGGTCCTGGGACCGGGGCCCAAGCGGCCGCGGAGGGTTTCTCTGGTTGAAAGTGAAGATGGGACGACACCTTTTCGGATGTCTTCAAGCCTTGTACCGTCACAAGAGTCACGGAGACGCACATGCCCATGCTGCGCGTCTCATGTGCGAACACAGGCAGATGTTCATCAGCAGGAAAGAGATGATGGGACGCGCCGCTGTCTGAGCAGTCGAAAGATCAGGATGCCACTCCGTTTGGATCGTTGAATCTTTCGTGTTTTGTACCTCACCAGACCTTGAATTAGACATCTGGAACCCCAAGGAGCCTTTCCACAAAGCTGTCCCCCCAAATCAAGGCACACCAAATCACTCACCGCCTTTTTGGCTGCCAAGGCTCAAGTCTTTTTGCCCCACGCTGGAATGATTACCATTTGGCAGAGGACTGAGAGATACTTGGAGCGGCCCTGGAAAGGGCTAAAGCAGAGTGATCTGTCAGCGCAGGTCTGCTTTCGCTGCATGTGTTGTATTTATACTTGATGGATGCATGTCCTCCAACTTGTTGGATCACAGGTTCTAACATAGTGACAGTCCGTTTGTTGAGCATTGTCATGTTGATGAGTCAGGTTGAATGACTGGCCCTGGCTGAAATATGTGCTGATTGGTTCCATGGGCTTCTTCGTACCTTTGACGGCAGGAAGGGCTAGAACATGCTGCTTGTGAGTTTGGAACATTTTGTTGTCAGTCATGTTAGAGTCATGTTGTTTATCCTGTTTTCGCTAGCTGAGGTGATCATTGGTCGAGACACTTGAGCACACCACGGAAGAGTTGGACAGCGTTTGAAGGTGGAACTTTTGGAGTGTGGGTCCACTCTCCACCGTAGCCGACCCCAAAGATCTACATGTGACATTCAAGTCGGTCATGAATTTATACAATTTTGCTTTGTACAGGTTAAGTAACCCTTGGCTTCCGCCAAGAGGCATCCACAGTGTGCACCGTCTCACCGACTCTCGCTACAGTTTCCGGACAGACGCATGCACCTGTGAAAAGCTTTGCATTTCCTGTTCTTCTGCGAAGGGGCCCTATCACAGAAACCCGAGTTCATCCGGGTGGTCGAGGGGCGGAACCATGTTGGTGCTGAGTCCATGACCTTGGATTGGACTAGGACCATCGAGCCGTTTATTTTGCATGCCCTTGTCTATCCCCAACACCTGCAGTGCAAATTCAGTCTACATGATGCTACATGCTATGGGTGGAAGTTCATCCTGTGGCACTGCACTGACCTGGGCCCAAGCGTTGTTCAACTGCCCTTGCAGCAAATGTGCCCTGGTTGCAGCAGGTGTGTTCCAGCATGTGCGATCCCTGTTGCCCTGTGCTGTCCTGTGCCGTCTCTTCGGCCCAAGGTGCGGGTGATGAGCCCCAGGAGATTGGACTCCAAGGTAGTGACCCTGCAGTGACCGTGTTGCTTTCAGCTCCAGGAGTTCTGAAGGTCTTCTTAGACATCACCTTTGGTGAAGATGCCAGCTCCAGATGTCAATTCTGAGGACTACTACAAGGCACCGTCAAAACAACTGTGCCACACTGTGCCGATTCTTTCCTGCTTTGGCGGGTAAAGCTCTGAACAAAGCATCGGTACGGGGCATTGGCTTGGTAGATACAAGCACTGTACCAGCAGCATGTTGCACGCTCGCAGCTATTTAAATGTGATTTCTATTACTGTATATATATATATATTAATGCACATGATGTGACATGCGGACATGTTTTAATCGCTTCCAGCAGAGGAACATCCAATCCTGTAATACTGCAAGCTTGAGTAAACGTGAGCTGCACACGTACAGGAAGGAATTGTGTTTCCGGACACACCCGCATAGGGCCGTTTATCCAAATCCAGTCGCTTCCAGTCAGCATCCTTTGGAACACCAAACCCCTGTTAGATTCCAACCTGACGCACCCACCAAAGACAACCTTTGCCAGACAGGTGCACCGGGTGTTAGTCTTAAACCTCACCAGAAGTGTTTAATGGTATGAAAGTGAAACTGATATTATACTTGCATGATTCAATATGATTGAATCTTCTACAATGTGAAGCAACACTGGAGTGAAGCTTCTTAACACCCCTTCTTTGCTTTTGAGTGCAAGAAAGAAACCATCCGACGACTTCTGCTGGGCAGGTCCTTGGAGTTGACCGAACTGCCTCCGATAGTGAGATCGCAAAAGCGTACAAGAAGTTGGCACTGAAGTGCGCAGATCGAATTGGGAACTCATTGGGAATCGTTTCACCTGTAGAAACAAGAAGCTTTGTAGTATGTTTTTGATCGCTACAACCGTAAATAACAAGAACCGTTGACTCCCGTCATCCCGTTCTCCGTCTTCATACCAGTCAGAGACCGGTGTTCACGGGATGTCCACAGGTGTTCAGAGAATAGACAGAAGCGGCCTTGAGAGCGGCCTTGACGCGATTCCCTTCCCATGTCATGATACTGTGTTTCTAGGACATGGGACGATACTGTGTTTGTCATGATTACGCGATTCGCTTGCCTTTTGTCCGATTCTAATGCTTGTGTTTCTTCATCTAGATTCTGCTAGATGCAAGATTGCATAGTCGGATTGATCACTTGCCTTCTTGCGAACATTTTCTACCAGGATTTTTGGAACTGAGCCACTAAGTGGACAGTGATTCCAAACTCCCATTCCACATCAGATGACATCAGGGCTTTAAACGACTTCAAGCAATGCTAAGCATACAGGGTAAAGCCTGAGTGCAGGTACCACCCGGATAAAAATCCTGAGAACAAAGAGAAAGCTGAGGAAGACTTCAAGGCACGACGTGCTCAGTAGAAAGCAGCTTGCGAAGCTGGTCGACGTAGACAGCTTGTTGAAATAGGCCGTGCATACCTTTGAGTTGCCAAGCTACATGGAATGAATCCCAGATAGTTTTCTCCAGTCATGTTGAGACAATTTCTTCTGCCCAGAATTTGACGAGAAAGAGGCTTCACGAGGATGCTCGCAATCGTTTTTGGCCCGAATTTTGTCACGCCTTGCAGAAAATCACTGAAGCCTATGAAGTGCTTCATGACGGCGACAAGAGGAAAAACTACAATCAGTCGCTTGGTTGAACGATGGCCAGTCTGTGTCCCGCCACAGAAGGAGCAGCAAGATCGAGGTCAGCCCAGCTGATCGAGGTCAGGACCTGATTGAGGTCAGGACCCGATTTCGTGACGTTTGAAGTCATGGGACTCCATGGGGACCTGTGTGCAGCTTCTCATCGGTTGAATCCCGCTCGGATTTTCGGGGGAGAGGCAGCCAGCATTGTGCGTGTCATGGTTGATTTATTTGTTGACCAGTTTGCCACCTCTTCGAACCACCCTGGTCGTCCGGTGTTCTCTAAGGTTCGGCAAAGCCGGCATCCAGGGGGGTCCTGGAGGAGGACCAGGTGGAGGTCAGTGGAGACAGCGGAGAGATCGTGATAAACCGCAAGTTGTTGCATTGCCGCAAGTGTGCTTGGATTTGCCGCAAGTGCGCTTGCATTCATTTTTTCCATGGCTGTATGAGTTCCAAAGTTGGCTTTGTGTAAGAGGCCGTACAATGGAACAAGGTTATGAAGTCATCCCACCTGAAATTGCAGCATCTGAAAATGCAGTGCTTTCTGAGTTGCCATGCTTTGTTTGTCAATTATTAGATCATATTAGATCGTCGTTTGTTTGCCGATGTTTGCCGTGGGCCGGCCTTATAGCGCACCCTGTGCTAGATCGTTTGATGTGTCCTGACAGGTGTCTCCTTCGCAGAAGCGGACGAAATCTTCAAGGCCTTTTATCGGGAATTCCAGAGATGCTCTCGATCCGTGTATGGTGCGAAATTAGATAGGAAGGGCATCAGAGTGCCAGAGTGCCCAAAATTATGATTCCAACTTGGATCTCTGCTCACGTCGATGATATATATATATATTATTCGGCAATGAAAGGAATCGCACACATATATATATATATATAGTATCAGCATGACTGACAAATGTCTGCAGGGTGTCCACTTGTCCTTGGTGCGACAGCGCAGCAGGCCTTCTTTGGAGGAAACAATCCCTTTGGGATGTTTGGTGGCATGGACGACGATGATATGGGTATGGGAGGCGCATGGGCATGTCGCGAGTCGAAGGCTGCTTTAATCAAGAGAATAATCCTGAGTAGGCCCCGTGGTCCTCCATTGGTCAAAAAGCGCGAGGTCTGCAACATTCATAATAAGTGCGAATTTGGCGCAACCTTTGCAAACCAAAAAAGGTACCCGGTTGCCTTGGTCACTGTGTCACTTTCTGGGTGTCCTTCATTTATGGGGCAAGGGGTGTGCAGTTTTTGGTGATCTATTTTGTGGTGCCTTCTGAGTCTGGTGGCTTTTGGTTCTTGGTTCGCTTTGGGGGGAGTCGCTGCGCCCTCCCCCCAACCCCTCTCCAGCGCCACGAAGTGTGCACTTTGCCAATGCACTGTGCCTGCCACGACAGATTTCATCTCCACAACGAATATTGCATCCCCTCGCCTAAGCCTTTTGATCCTGTGTTGCAAACATCCTTTCATTGTCCTTTGGTGGTGATAGGGCCCACCTTTGCCCATCATTTCTATTCTTTCGTTCTCTTGTTTTCTTTGTTGCTTTGGTTTGCTCTGTTGGGGACTGCCTGATCTTTCTGTCGCCCGCCCTGCTGCTTTTTTCCTTTCATTGCTCACTGGGAGTTTTTTTTTTTTTTTGAAATCCCTTTCTTTTTGAATATATATACATATATTCATTGATGTTATTCTTGTTCTTTTTTGATCTCTCACCCTTGATGTACTGTAGGTAGATGTGCTAGCCAAGAGGAACATACTGGATAACAGTTAACACAAGTCAAGTGTAAAGACATGGTGCATGTTGTGAGTGCCTCACGGGAAACAAGACTACAAGACTCAGCATGGTGGTTGCCCAAAAAGCTGTTTCCCTCAATTGAGTGGTGCCTGGTAAGTGCTAGCAAAGGAAGTCATGACAAGGTGGCAAGTGTTGCTTGGGGTTCAAGACAGGACGGAACAGGTTGGCCAATGTCCGGACACGTTCAGAAGTTGATTCAATGTTTACAGTCATTAAAACAACAACAACTTTTGCACCTTTGCACAGAAACCACGGAGTTTTTATCAGAACTGTTCTATCAACATCCAGAAGTTCATTCATGTGGAGCAGATCATGGTTTTCTTGACCCTGCGCGAAACACACATCTGGAGGCCTTGGAGGAATGTTTGGAGGAAAAGGAATGTGCTGGACTTAGATTGCATGTTTCAACACGTTGCCTCTAGATTTTGCGGGTTCAGGGCCCGCTCTCTACCAGTATCAGCATCATGACATCATGACATCATGTAGTCTGTAGCATGATGCAGCTTCTGGATTCTTTTCAAACTGGAAGATCGTCCATGTCTTTCGGAAAGTCCGTTTGAATTCGTGGGAAGAGTTTGACCCTCAAAGCCCTTTTGTTCCGAACGCCCACACCGAAGCCCACGAAGCGAAGCCGCCCACAGGGGTGGACCTGGTGGACCTCGCGTGATCTTCAGGCGCGCCCGACGGGTCCGTCCGTGGGGGTCGCGCCCGGCCTTCGATGCGTTTCTCCGTGCGTGGCCGGCCCTGCCGGTTGACATATGAATGGCCGAGAGGTTCAAACCAATGAGGACAAACCGCGATGAACAAATCGCGACAGAAGATGCAGAAATCCACAGCTGAAAGCACTGCTACAGTACAGCTGTTTGCTACCACTTAGATATTTTTGCCAGTGACAGTGCGTTTTGTTTTGATCATACTTGTTACAAGCCAACAATAGCATTTGGGTCTGCCGGTTCACCTATAGACCCAAGGAGATGAGCACCACTGGTCACACTTTGCTTGTGGGAATAGCAATCCCTGCTCAGCATGGGCTTTTTGCCCACTCACGTTGCAGGAATGGAGGTGGTCAGAGCCCGAAAGCTTTGTCACTCACAGACTTCACAAGAGAGTGTTGCGTTGCCTGTGATAATATAGTTGGTGGTGCAGTGCATGTGATATGTCTAAGGTATGCCGGGCATGGGCGGCATGGGCGGCATGGGCGGCATGGGCGGCATGGGTGGCATGGGTGGCATGGGCGGCTTCCCCTTTGGTGACTTCGGTGGAGCTGGCCTCAGCGGCTTTGTTCCTGTGCAAGCGGCAGAACTGAGTTGTTACTGATGCTTTCTATCAAGCTTGAGCAAAGTCCTATTCTGAAACTCCTCGTTCTTCTGAAACTCTTCTTCCGCAAGTATTATTCGTGCGTAACTGCTCTTCAGCAACTAGTCTCAGTAACTATATCGCATTCTTCAGAAACTAAAACTATTTCGTGATCGTCCGCAACTTCTTGGTGATCTTCCGAAACTATGTCGCATTCTTCAGAATCAATTTTGCATTCTTCAGAGCAACTATGCTTTTATGCAGAAACTCCATGATGCATTCTTCCAGATTAGATGGATGAAGCACAGCGGGTGCGGGTGCACCGGTGCGGCCGGGTTGGGCGGGTTTTGTTGATGAAATACCACGCGGCCCTATGCAGTGGGGGGTGGAGGGGGGGAGTTGGGTGGGCTTCTTGATGTATTTTGTGACAGCTACGATCTAGTACCGCAGAACAGCCTCCGACGAAAACTGTCGCAGGTTGCAGAAGATGACCGTTTGATCCTTTTAGTTACCAAACACCAAGCATATCCGAAGAAAACCGAAGGAACAGTTTCGCCAAAAAATAGACTTGTAAGAGTCTGGTTACCAAGTAATCGTTTCGGGAGAAAACCGTTTGATTGCTGATGATAACTTTTTAATGCCGAATAGAATCTCGACCATCAAGTTCCAAGCAAAGACTACCAGAGGATACCGGAGGTTCCAGCTACCAGTTGTTTGTTTTTCCGACTTTTGTGAGTAAGGGATGCCGCTGATACACCCACGCATGTGTGCTTCATCCAACGGAATGGCAAACAAATGTTTAACACACACACACATATATATATATACACACACCTGCTACTAGTAACGTTCAAAGGTGTTTGACCGATGCAGGAATGGGCGGCATGGGTGGCATGGGCATGGGAAAGGGAGCAGGCAAAAGTAGGCCGGACCGGGCCTGCCACCTGCTGGTTCGCAGTTCGCAGTCTCCATGTCTTAGACTAATGACCGACGTCGCATCATGAGCAGCTGTGCGATGCTATGCAGCCGATTGCCGTACTCTACCAAAAGAACATGAAAGAACGCTGTTGCCTCATTTAGCCACGTGGAACATGCACATTCACAGGTGTAACTCAGGTTGGCATGCAGATGGGTTGTTGCTTGCACGCCATGTGTCTCTCTTGTATCCCATCCAGTGTTGCAGGCCAGCCCCACCTGCCTGGGCGATACCTGTGGGCACCGTTCGGTGCTGAAAAGGAATTGGGCGTGCATTTTCATAGGGAGACCCCCAACCAATGGGTTTTGGTTTATTTCCCTTGTTCCAGGGGGTCTTTGGGAGGTCTCCATATTTCAATACACACTCAATTGGACAGATTTGTCGCTCAAAAGCAGGTACGAGGTTGAGAATTGAACAGGCTTTAACTGACCTAACTTCATCCAAGCTTTTCTAAGAAAGATCTTAGCTGGAAGACCACTGGAAAGCTAAGGCCGTTAATGTCCACGGGTTGGAGAAAGCGGCCGAGCACAACCAGAAATCTGGGACTGGGCCAATGGTATGCTAATCATGATTGGCCCCCGCCCCACTAGAGCATCATGCAAGCGTCCAACTGTGGTGCTTAAGACGAGGTTGATGCGGAGCAATGATCTAGTCTATACGCGACACTTCTCCTTGCTAGCTTACTCTAGTTGAGCAGATTGCACTGTACATCTCCTTTCTGCTCTTCCTCTTCCTCTTCCTCTTCTTCTCTTTTTCTTCTTCTTCATCATCTTCTTCTTGCTATTGTCTAAGTTGTTGTGAGAATCGACCAGTGTGCAAGCCATCGGCAGGAAGATAGTGAGCTGGGACGATAGCAAGGGCAGATACGAGGCATGAGCTATGTGTAACTGCTGAAAATTGAGCGATGGCGACCTCAATGATTTCTTGGTTTTAGTTAGATCTTTTGAGCCACAAGCTTTTTCCCCACCTGTCAGGTGAGGGTTGTTAGATTTTACGTCAGCCCCATCTCCTCCTCCTCCGCCTCCTCCGCCTCGTCCTCTTCCGCCGGACCTCAACCGCGACCATCCACGCCCAGTGTTCCCTGCCGGACCTCAACCGCGAGCTCCAGACCCAAGTGTTCCCTGCCGGACCTCAACCGCGAGCTCTAGGCCCAAGTATTCCCTGCCGGACCTCAACCACAGCACAAAACCACAACCGCAATCAAAAACACAATCATACCACCACAAACACAACCACAAACACACAACCACAAACACAACCACAAACACAACCACGAACACACAACAACAAGCACACAACCACAAACACACAACCACAAACACAACAGCAAACACACAACCACAAACACACAACCACAAACACAACAACAAACACACAACCACAAACACACAACCACAAGTACACAACCACAAAACACACAACCACAAACACACAACCACAAACACACAACCACAAACACGACCACAAACACACACAACCACAAACACAATGACAAACACACAACCACAAACACAACCACAAACACACAATCACAAACACGCAACCACAAACACGCAACCACAACCACAAACACAACCACAAACACACAACCACAAACACATCCACAAACACACAATCACAAGCGAGAACTACAATGCTCACGACCATGGCAACATGCTCCTCGCTATGGCATCAAGACAAATGATTGACATATAATGGTGGGGATCACTCGAAGTAAAGTAATTGTATTTGTTGTCCTTGCTTCTTCCTGCTCCTCATATTTTCTGCTCCATGTCAATTTGTGCCAGTTTGGGCAGATGGCCCAGCCTACCGTGCTCGTAAGTGGAAGTGGATGCAGGGGACACAACTCTCTCACTGAAGTTGCAAGCTCAAGTCGCGTTATCCAGACGATTTGAGTGCATTACATTCTGTGGGGGACCAGAAAGCCCAAGCGAGACTCCACTGAGGCCTCAGAACATCACCCAGACCTGCTCTGTAAGGATAGCCTCGGCCTGATGACTTCGGGGTTGAACATGGGTTAAGGCAGCTTCTTGCAAGATCCAGCTTCATGGCTAGGGTATCCGGGGCGTCCACAGCGCCGTTGTTGTTTTTTGGTTTGTGTTGTTTTCGTCGCGTTTGAGAGAAATGGGTATTTGAAACGCGTTCAAAACGATCCAATTAGGGATCCGGGATCCGCTAGTTTTGATCTAAGAGTTTAAAATTTGCCTTTCTTTCTCATGCTTTACCACATGTTTGAGCCATTTCACAACAAAGCAGTTCTGGCAGAGTCTAGAGTCCTGGTGAGACTGAACACGTCTGACAAATGATGTTTAGGAATGGAATGTAAATTTATGGATTCTGAATTCGATGACTTTTCACTGCCCATGCTTAGGTGGGGATAGAATCCAAACCCGAGCTGCAGGGCTCTCAGATCTCCTTGTGAACAGCCAGATTGCTCTGGGGGAATTTAACCTTTTTGACGTTTGACTACTTGTTGCCTGGACTAGGATACTTTACTGACTGTTTCTCATGGCAGTGGAGTCGCTGGCGTGCCTAATATTTTATAAGCAGGTGAAGTCGCAGTTGAAGCCTTGCAAACCAGAATGCAAACCAGACACCATCATTGTACTCTTGGTGTCAGCTTGCAAAAAGGAGCTGGAAATAGCTCGTCCAATTCTGTGAGAACATGTTGTCGCATGAGCATGCTTTGACCTTCACGCCCACGCTGTTCGTGGATCAACCCCAGTGGCCCAACTCATGTCCGCTACTTTCGTTCGACGCATGGCAAAAGGTGCGAGGAAGCTGCGCAGCTCTGTTAGGTCCAACAGTGGTACCGCGGAGCTCGTGGTGACGATCCATGAGCGACGATGAAAGAGGAGGACCAGAAGGCCGCTCGACCTTTAGTGCTTTGGTGGCTGGTGCAGCGGCTCGCGGGCGAGATAGTCTGGATTGTCCAGGCTATCGGGACAAGAACCCGCCGCGCAGTTGGAGTGGCGAGGATCCAGAGAACACGTTCCAGGCCTTGGAGAGGAACGTGAGACTCTGGGAGTGTGAGACCGATGTTTTGCGGTCCAAGCGGGGAGTGAAGCTCATGAGGGTCATGCAAGGCCTAGCTGCAGTGGCAATGGAGGAGTTGAGTTTTGAGGACATTGCCTGTGAAGATGGGGTTCGCAATGTCCTGGGGAAGTTGAAAGAGTTCTTCATGCCGCAGCTGGAAGATAGTCTTCCCAGAGCTTTTGAGGCGGCGGTCTACGGCCCCGCGAGGTCGGCGAAAGAAGGCTTCGCCGAGTGCACCGGTCGAATGGAGCGTGCGTTCAATCGGCTGAGCCGTGAAGGAGTGGACCTCCCGGAAGGGGCCCAAGGGTACATACTGTACCGCCAGGCATCACTTGGTGAGCACCAAGAGCAGCGGTTGCTCACATGGGGCGATGGCAAGTGACAAGAAGATCATCGTCAAGAACCTTCGGAAGCTGGACAAAGAGAAAGCAAAATCCCACTACGTGGTTGAGGAGTCCGGCGGCGAAGGACGGCGATGATGTTGATGACAATGAGACGGACGATGAAGAGTACATCTACTTGGCCGATGGAGACCTTGACGCCATCTACGAGGAGAATGATGTGCAGATGGCGCTGGACGCTCTCAAGCATCAGCGCTTGGCAGAGGATTCTTTCCCCCTCAACCTGGGAAAGGAAAAGGGAAAGGCAAGCATAGAGTGCACATCGAGCAGCTGAAGTTGCGAACCAAATGCTGGAAGTGTGGCGCTGTCGGCCATTGTTGGGGAAGAGAGTGCACTCAGAGTGAACGAAGGACGACCAGCGGTAGTCAGGCCACGTCATCCAATTCTTCGACGGCGCCATCAAGTAAGTCCGGCTTTTTTGTAGCTTCTCACCCAGGTGACGGCGAAGACCCAACTCATTTTTGGCTTCGCAAGTTTGTTTCTCAGCAGCGTGGTGAACGACCACACGTCACGTACTGATGGCCAAGCAGTCCGTTCGCACGAGGAGGCACACATGAGGCCCAGTGATGATAGCTTCTGTGGCACGCAGAGTGTGGGTTGATCGGCGCGGAAGCTTTGAGTCGATTGGGCTGGGCGTTGCAACGAAGAGGATTGAAATTTGTTTGGACCCCAAAGCAAGGGAGTTGGAGGCAAGGCAGAGGTGATCGCGGTGGGTTTGGATTCCCATTGGTTTGTCGGGCATCAAGGAGTTTTAGAGTGCACGGTGGTTCAGGGAGAAGTATACCTTTACTTTTACCGGTTCAACTTCTACGAGCGTTGAAGGTCGTTTTGGACTTTTACACCAGCACTTCTTACATGAAGGAACATGGCTAAATGATCGCTATGAGGACCCTTCCGAGTGGACACGTAACAGTCGACAGCATGCATTTGCATCCAGATGGGTTTTCAGTTCCGGAGCAAGCGCCGGACATGTGCATCAAGGACTTTACCTATGTTCAATCCGTGGGAGCGATGTTGGCTCAACGCGGTGAGAACACCCGGAATCGAGAAGCCCACTGTGTCTGCGACGCCAACACCTTTGAAGTTCGCCATTGCCCTAATTAAACGCATGATGGCAATGGGCGACTCGGCTTGAAGCCAAAGCCAGGACGTCCACCTCGTGGAAAGGGCCCTATGATCAAGACCAAAGTTGCTCTCAAGGCATGGTGCATCATCATGGACAAGTTGATCACTCTCATGACCTTCGCCCAACTTCGTCCAGGCGCAGTCCGACGTCAAGGAATGGTTTCCTACGGCCTCGTTCTCGCCACACTCGGAGGGAGAAGAGACCATGGAGGATGTGTACGCCAAGCTGATCCCAAGAACCAATTTAAGGGTGGAGGCAACCTGAGCAGCTCATACACTGTACGCAAGGCTTGCCACGGCTGGTGAGAGAACACTATCAGGTCGTCGGAGATCAGGAATGCCCAGGAGGACAAGCAAGAAGGGGGGCCACTTGAGTCACTATGAGAAGATCGACGCGGTGAAGAAGATAGCAGTGGTTTCGGCCAAGATCAAAGAGCGCTCGGATTGGAGGGACGTGGAATTGAGGCTCGAGAACATGTCTGCGAGGTCGAGGAACAAATTGGTCAGTCGATGCATCTATTTTCCATCATGACCACGGTGTGTGTCTGCTGGGTAGCTTGAAAGCGGCTGTATCATTGCCCATTGTGAATGGACTTCACAATGTGATGGTTACAGATATCGTGACGCTCGGTCGCAAAGACTTGCCTGTGCAAGGAATGCCCAGGAGCCTGTCCGAATATTGCCTTGGTGGGACTGTTAATCACACACACACTGGGAAATGTAGATTGAGAGGGGGGGCACACCCCCTTGAATATACACTTATGTGACCCGGTGACTTCCTTGCATATATATATATATATATCATATATATAAATATATATTATATATTTTTTACGCATATTCATGCCATGCTTCCAATGGACTCGAAGGCGGCGGGTGTTTGCCGTCTCGATGTGCGCTCTCTCCGCTGAGGAACGGGAAGTCTGGTCAACTCCTCAGCTTCGACAAAGGGCCCGGGATCCACAGAGCGAAGGGCTCGTCCAAAGCCGCTCGCGCCTGCGACAGATCAACCAGCTGGCGGTGGGTCTGATTGGCTGAGGGTCGTTGGAGGTGGTGTTTTAGGCTTGGGCCATGCATTGGCAGATGAAGCGGATCTGAATGCTGCCGAAGTTTTTGGCCCCTTGAGGCAGAACCGGTACACAGTCAGACTGAACGTTCCTTGGCGTTGGCTTTGGGTGCTCAGTTTTGCTTGTCGGAGTCTTGATGTTGCTGCCCTTTACAAGTTCCTGACTGAGAGGAGCACATGTATACTGTATAATCGTGTATGCCTGCCAAAAGATCCTAACAGGATGGGATGTGTGAGTTTAAGTTGAACATCAGCGGCATATATACAGATAGATTTAAAGTCTTTTACTTTGTAAACCAGGAAATCACAAGTTACGTACGCTTCTCTCCCGCTCTCAGTATGAGGTCGAGGAAACCCGCCACTTGCAAGTAGGTCGGCAGGCTCTTTTATTTTGGACCCTAATGATTGACAACAGGCAGAGCTGCGGTTGTGCCTCTCTCTACTCTACAAACCAAGCAGCCACACAACATACAATCACTTGTCCTGTATAATTACATACCCGGCCCAAGGAAAAGCTGGAGGGTGGCAAGGACGTTTTGGGCCTTCAGCCAAGCAATGTCATCCTTCCGAAGGCTGTTTCGGGTGGTTGCTTAGAGCAGAGAGATTCAACAACCACGACAATTGGTGCTTCAAAGATCCAAAGCCGGTCCTTTTGAGCTGATGGACAGGGCACATCTAACCTTTGCTGTTCACATTTGTTGACTGCCTTTGCACCCAAAAACAACAGACGCGAGACCTGCTGGACAGGGCACGAGGGTAGTGGTGGCGAACCTTGGAAAAGAAGAGTTCAATGGCCAGCTCTTCCCTCAGTTCGTTCCCCCCCGTCAACGGAACGAACGGAGCGAGTTCTGAGTTTTGGATGAGAGCTGTAGTCATACTCCGCTGAAGTCTTGGAATGCTGTCTCGCACAAGAGGCCCAACCGCTGTAGAATTCTATGCGGCAAACTTCTTACACACTGGCATCTTCATGTACCCCTTCAGTGGTGAGCAAACGACTTGCTCACTGACTCACCGAGGATGGCTCAGATCAACGAAGTGGATGAATCTGCGCAAAGATCCTTGGCTTAATCAAAGCTTCAACCCATCTCAACTCTAGACCCGGCTCAGACGGCCAACGATAGGACAATTGGAGACTCAATTTACATTCAGGCGAGTCTTGGTTGACTGAACCAAGGATACCAAGTGGCCTGCAAAAATGGGAAGGCCGCTTATTCATGCTAAACATGGCTCAAAAGCTTGAAATGCAGCGAGTTTTGTGGCAACTTAGTGGACTTGCTCAACGCATGGCCTGCTTTCGTTTGATGAGGATGTCAGACGTAGTTCTTTCAACCGGCAGGTCATAAAGATCAAGTTTGAGAATGTCATTTGCTGACCAAGCTTCGCAACTCTTGGTGCGCTGCCTGATTGCGGAGAGTGAGGAATGCACGTGCAATAGTGCAATAGGGACCTCCAAGTGCCACCCTGTTGTTGGCATCTCTCTTGCTGTTAGCTTTTCTCTCTGGGAGCAAGGACGCTACTAGGGGCTCCTGGCATCGTACTAGGAGCAAGAAGCTACTGGGAGCCAAGGGCATCGCTACTAGGAGCAAGGACGCTGGCCATTGTGATACCCTTCCTGATCCGAGTTCCACGAACTGTTTCTCATCGACTCACTGAAGCAACCTCACCACTTCGCAACATCAGAGCGCGGTTTCCTGGTGCCACCGCTGCATTAGCAGCCGATGTTGGTAGTACTAGTAGTACCAATCTGCACTTTTCGCTTGCAGATCTTAGGGGCAGGCTTGCTTATGCAAGTCGCCCAAACAGTCGACTTGTTGAGAAGAGGTCAAGGTGCCCAACATGCCTACCATAAATGGTTTTAAACCGGTTTGATCATGTCTTTGTGTCTTCCATTCCAACAAGATAAATGAAAACAACGAACGATGGGCAGCAGCATCTTGGCAACTCTTCGCATGTGCCGCGGTGCCCGAAGAATCGGGCGCCTGTGAAAGACGGCGGCCATCGCACCGAAAGCAGCTCTGAAAGCACCGGCCTGGTCATGAAGCGAAGATGTTCGACCTTTCAGCGCCGGTGTTTTAATGGAAAAACACATCGCATCATACATGCTGACACACCATTGACATGCTGACAGTTGTGCTGCATCTTTTTTGAGTAAGAGAGTTTCCTTTAGGCAGCAGGTTCAATATCATCGGTTTGGTTGACCAGCTGGTGCTGAAGTGCTGTGGATTCGATCGGAGGTTTCCAATCCATTTTTCTTGTTGTTCTTTAACCGAGAATTCGAAGCCTCCGAAAATTGGCATTCGAGCCTGACCCAAAAACTTTAACTGGCAGCTTCTGCGCCGAAGAAAAGTATACTGATTCTGCTTCGCGAAGGAATCAGCTTGTTTGCAGAGCATTCCCCACTTACTAATTATTCCACAAACGAAATGCAGATCTGCAGATTGATCCTGACCTGTCCTGCTTTTCTCCCGGCCTTGTTACCAGAACAATCCATCCATCATGTCATCAAGGGTGCGTTTGAATGTTCTATGTGTTCCATGGCTCGGCTCAGTTGGTAGTTGAGAAAGATGGCACAAAAAGATGGAGAGTATGACACTCAGATTGAAGATGCTTGAGGAATTCCATGAGCACCATCATCAACCCTTATTGTGATCCCAAAACCTCAGTGCTGACTTGTCACGCCGCATCCAAGGTTGGTGATCAATGCATCCGGAGCATTGCAAAGCAAGGAGACGTGTCCAAAGAGCGAACTGGCTGATTTCCGCAGACGTTTGCAGACGTTCGCAGCAGCTTCTTCACACAGAAGTCAGCTTTGGTTTGTGATCCAGGAGGGCAATTGGGGTCCCGAAGTAGATCAAGTGGTGTGCGCAGCTTAGTTCGCCTTCTACCGGGCAATTTGCATCCGAATCGATCGCTGAGGACATCGGTTTGGCAAGTGCTCAGGGACATGAAGCCTGGCACTGAGACGGACGTCCTCTCACCTTGCACGTCGTCCTTTGGACGTCGTCTGACCCAATGAAAGCGGGGCCCAAGAGAAAATTGCTCTGAGGCACGTGGTGTCGTCCGCAGAGTCCCTGAAGCGGATGTCCATTTCCTTTGGCAGTTTGCATCTTAGAGATCGGAACAAAAGAGAAGGAGCTCAAGAGACATTCTATGGGGTAGGAACAAGAAGCTACTAGTGGCTCATGGCATCGCTACTAGGAGCAAGGACGCCACTAGGGGCTCCTGGCCGTACTACTAGGAGCAAGAAGCTATTAGAAATGAGTTTGACAGGTCTGCTTTAAGTGGCTTAGCTTGAGGTCGGCAGTACGTCATCACCGGCAAGGATGATAGGGATTGACAACAACGGCAATCAACACATAGCAAATATATAAACATAGTCTGTTTGGGGAAATGGATGAGAGTGAAGAGAGGTGCTGAAAGTGTGAAGATGATAATATGTGCTCCGACTGAGAAGCACCTGTGGGCAGGCTGAGGCCTGTCGGCTAGTTTCGACCTTTCCATACACAAGTGAGTATTAAAAACACGGCAATATGTATTAAGTAAGGAAGGTTCCCAGAGGTTCAGAAATCGCTTGGGCTTGGTATTCTGTTGTTTAACTTGGAGATGCTACCTTGTCGCACTAGCAAAACGCAGGATTGCGCGAGGTTTGCGGTGGGTTTGGCGGTAGGTTCAAGTGCTTAGGTAAGATTAACAAACAGCGCATACATACACTGGTAATTAAGCTTAAACCTATTAAGGTATGAACGGATAACCTGTGGGACAAAGCATTCTTTAGCTGAGTTCATGTATGTCTGTGTCTGAACACAGCCATTTTGGCTGTACTTGGTTTATGTAAGCAGGAGCACCCATCCATTGCGGGCATGTTTCCATTGCGGTTTGATCCTTCGTGCGTGGAAGAGCTATTGTACAACTATTTCAAAGCTTGGAAAGCCGGCCGGGCGCAAAGCGTGCTCTTGATCACAGCCGTTTGGTGGCCTGAGGCACTGGCAGGGGAGCGCCCCAGACCCGCGCTGGATGCGCGCTAGACCACTTTGCAACTTTGACCACTTGTCCAACTGCTTTCCAGGGCCACTACTCAATACACACAAGCGGATGGCCTGCACGACGTTGCGCTGGGGTGATGAGAGTGAGTGAAAAGACGAGAGGGGCAGCGGGGGTGGGGGTCACTGTATGCACGAATAAAGAGAATAATGATAGGAACATCATCTATCATGTCTTGACAACTTATTTCTTGTTATAAGAGGACTGCTACTTTCAGCTTCACATGTGGAACCGATTGGCCGAGTGCAGCTGTGAAAGGGACATGCACCTGTACAACATACAACCATGTAAATGAGCAGATGTTGGGCACATGAAGCCACCGCTTGGGATCGCTGTGACTTGAAGCTAGGATAACAATGACTTTGGAACGGGTTTCTTTTTCAGCAACCAATTTCCACTTGCAAAACATGTGTTGTCAAGTTGTCAAAGCTGGAGTCCGTGTATTTACACCTGGTTTGAATATTCACGAACCTTTTTCTACAAGTGTCCGAGTTGTTCTCCGCCGTCGAGGACAGTAGCTACCACGTGGTGCGGTGGAGCACACCATGAATCGCCTAACGAGTCTAACGAACTTCGATGGTCCACCACGGCCCACCAAAGGAGAACGTGACTCATAGAGTGATGACAAATGTATGCCAAGTGGTCTTCTTATGTTTTCTTGCTCCCTTGATATTCTTTGAGTTGTGTTGTAAATTGTTGCACCCCCAGAATGGTCGACGATCCCTCTGAAAACAAATAAAATAGTATCAAATACATCAATAATCAAACCTTCATGTCGAGTGTTTTGGAAAACTGCTCAGATGTTTTCAGGGCGGACGGATGAATACATCCAACATGATAGTAGGCACGTAGCGGCTTAGCCTTTGCGGGGAGAACAAACGGACGAACTTGTTACCGGAGAACTGAAGAATTGGAGTCTGAGTAAATGTGAATGCCACGCCTCCTTTGGGTTTGCATTTCCACTGGTTAGCTTCACTGGGTTAAAAACCACCCAGCCAGGCACAGAAGCAGAAAAAGTCGATAAAAGAAATGGACATGCCAAATGCAGCTGAATCATCATTCTTCAATGACAAATGTGTGCTTGTGCTTGTGCCATGTTTCGCAGACTGCAATGTGGCTTGCAAGTGGTTTAGACTAAAAGCAGGCTTGAAAGGTGACGAATGGAATGGATGGCTGAAGAAGGGTCAGCAGAAATCGACGGCAGACTAGCTGGGAAGCTGTTTTGCAAACAACGGATGTGAAATGATGTGTCTTAGTGCACCAAACCATAAGCCATGAGGGGGCTTCTGCAGAGGAATCAGACTCAAAGCAGCACTGCCCATGGACCAGCCACAAGCCAAGCAGCAGCTATGGCTATGCAGCAGCCAGCAAATTCACCAGTCAGCTCTCCAGCTGTGTCCACCTGGCCGAGCTCGCCATTGTGCCTCCAGTGTCGCCATGCCTCCTTCAGCCCTCTCAAAGCTGCAGTCAGCTGTGACGCAGGTGAAGCAGGTCGAACCCGGGCCTCCGACGGAATGAGGGTCATGCCGAATGAAAAAACCAAGTTGGCATGGATATGTTGGCCTATGATCGCGTTAAAGCAAAATATGAGCCACATGGTCCTGGTCAATTGAAAATATTGTTCTTTTGCACTCCACAGGCTCCATCTCTCCCTTCCCTTGCTTGTTTCATGTTGTTTCATTGCCTGGTGATCCAGTGATCTGGGTAATCTTCCAGGTTCTTGTAGATTCTTTGCATCAAAAGTTCCATTTCTTGTGGTCTGGCCAGTCCGACGTGCTGAGATCCATTTCGGAATCCACTTCTGCTCAGGTCAACGTGCTGAAGTCAACACAAGTGGAGGACAGATCCCTTGAACCCCTTGAGCAACAGTGTGGACCACTGATCAAGAGCTTGGCCACCATGGCCCATGGGAGGAACTGATGGATATCGTAAATGTTGACCCTCCATTGATCCACCGGGTGTGCCCATGTCCAATGTAGTCCAGACATTTCTGGTGCACCTCTAGATGTTAAATGCAACCTGATTCGATCAAGTTGCGAAAATCCTGGTCTCCATCCATATTGATCCACAGTCCAGTTTTTTGATGGAGAGCTCGTTGTTGGATGGAACCCCATCATACACAGTGTTGTTTTGCGTTGCTTAGAACTGGACAAAGCATATGGGGTAAGTCACTGCTTTGCGTAATTAATCGTTATTATATAGTTTGATGTTGGGACCACCCAACGCGAGACCTGGGAGCAAGGCAGGTGTTGCTTCAGTTGCTTCAGGACTCTCCAGCCATCAAGGTATGTGTTCGAGTCAGACCGTTCATCAAAGAGGAGGCTCCGGGTACTGAGACATCGAAGGTCAGACTTGTTAAGGATCCACTTGTTTTCGGGATCTTAGGGAAACATGCCGCGGCTGCGAAAGCGGCGCAGATGCAGAAGGATCATCGGATCTGAGATGCTTGCAGGCGATTGCAAGGTTTTTACTTCTTGAGGTGACACAAAGAACAAAGGAAGGTGTGACCAAGCCCACTCATGCGCTCAAGATCCTGCTTGTTTTAGACTTGGGGTTGTTGGAAATTCAGTTCGATGGGTTCGATGCGAAGCAAAACAAACGGAGCAACTGCGCTCGACAGGTCGAGGGGCAACGTTCAGGCGGAGAATGTAAGCTTTGCATCGACATGCCGTCACTGAGCATCTGTTTGGGCAGAGCGGCGTCGGTGTTTGACGTTTTCTTTCAAAGTCAGTAGGAAGACCATGGAAGACCTTTGTAGTTGAGCAACCGAATACCGCTTCACCACGGGTAAACCAATTCCAAATGTGCAGGCATAGCTGGGTTGAACCCCCGTAAGGGCTTGTGTATCAGCAGGGCCATACTAAGGCTGCTTGGTATAAGCCTCTTAGGCAGCTTGAAGTGATTGCCTGTCTGCCGTGCCAGGACAATCCTGCAACTCACCACCTTTCGCCTAGGTTTGTTCACCGAACACGCAAACGTCTTCAGAACCATGCCAACTGTGTCCTTCGCATTGTTGTATTAGGACATTGGACCATTGCTGTTAGTAAACGTCAAACATGCGCTTGTTAGCGGCCACCAGTGGATCCAATGAGAGCGCCACGCCGGCCCCTAGGGCCTCTTTTTTGGTTTGTCAAAAAACAGAGCGGAGTCTGGAGTCTTGGCTAAAACCAAAAACGATAGGCCCCTCAGACCTGCGATAAACATGTTTCTGCCGTTTGGGATATAATGGGCTATATACATTCAGCTACAGTAAGCTGATTTGGGGCATGAAAAAGCGATCGGCACGTCTCCCAGTCAGACTGCCCTCAGCAGTCTGCACCGCACATGACCGGTTCAGGTCTGAGACCCAGGTGCGCATCCTGAACTTTGATGACCCGGATGATGACTCGCACTTTGGCGAATGACTCGCACGTTGTTTCATCTCGTTGCAGCTATAGTATGCCATAGGGCCATCCATCGGTCCGTAGAAGTTGATCGACGAGTCGTCATGGAAGCTGGCTGACAAGTTGACAAGTGAATCTGAAGCAAAATAACATTGTTGTTTGTGGTGTTGGTGCATAAACCCAGTGAACTGCACAACTGTGCTTGGTTCCAAACGCTCATTGATGTGCCTTGATTGATGTTCCTCCAAAAGGCGGGCCTTTGAATTTGATCGACGCTGGTCTCAATTTTGGCAACATTCTTCCATTTGTTTCCTTTGTGTTGGACAGCTATTGGGCTTTTGATACGACTGCTTCTCCAACTATCTCACCTTCATCTCATGGATTGCTATTCGCAGGTTGCTATTGGTCGCACAGCAAAGATCATCCGTTCTTTGCCACACAGGAGACCTTGCAAACCGAAGCTTGGCCAAGCTGAGCAGCGAACAGCGATGATAAGTGTGATATGTGGTGCGCTCAACGAGCAGGCAGCGTGTGTATGTGTGTGTGATCGTTTGTGTCAAGCCTGGCGGTTTGCCAGGCTTTTGACTCAAGACCTCCTAGCTGAGGAATTGGGGGAGATTATGCTGGAACATGCCATGAATGGTTTCAACAACTGCATTTTTGCGTATGGGCAAACGGGCAGCACCCTGCTTGCACCTAGAGCGTTCTGCCTTCCAAGATTGGAGGACGCACTCAGGACTCCAAAACAACCAGATCTTGCGGAGATCTTCCTTGTTTTGAGACATTCTAGCCAGAGATTGGACCTTTTTCGGCTCATTACTTGTCCCGCGCTATGCCGCGACATCCATGCAGTCCAAGATGCAATGTTCAAGGAAAGCTTTTTGTAGCATCAGACCACAGGTAGATGCAGCTTGGCATATCTCATTGTGTTGGCAACTTGATTTTGATCTGCTTCGTAAGCTCCATTGGCCACTGGTCCCGCTACAGTACGGCACACTCGTTCAGGTGGGAAGTCATACAGTGTGCTTGGTGGCAAGGACGAGGAGCGAGGGCTTCTTCCACGAGTGGTAGAGGGGCTGCTTGGATTTGGTTGAAATGAGACTGAAGATATTGAGGCGATGCATGCTCTTTTGGACGTTGCTGCCTTCTCTCTAGCAAAAAGATAACACAACACATGAAAGCAACTCGCATGCTGCACAGACTAGTTGCCGCTGAGGCTCTTCGATCACTTTGCAAAGCTGCCACAGGACCCGTCGTGATATTATACAAGTGGTGCCCTAAAAACATGTTGTGTTGATGATGGTGATGTACTTCGGATACCAACATTTTTGATTATTTTTGGATGTTTTTGGTTCTTTGCCAGACGCCGCAACGTCCTCTTTGTAATTAGTGTAGGTGTACATGCAGACCTGTACCGCCGGTGATTGTGATGGTTTCTGATGTTTCTGGATTTGTCAATCAATGGCACAATATCCAGCTTCAAGAAGTGCTCACATTTGCTTTTATGTGCGTTGGCACGTATCACCTTCATGCTTAGTGTGTGCTTCGTGCTTCGGGCAGGGTGCCACTTACAAGACGCTTGTCGCTTGGCAGACACATGTCGTGACTATCGATGATAGATGGGTCACGGGTCAGAAGGGGGGTGCAGCATCTGTCGGAGGTTGCCTTCATGGAAATCTACAATGAGCAAATCCGAGACTTGCTGGTATCTTGGCATGAGGGCTGTTGGGGTGGGTTCTAGTCCTTTCCTTTGGGCTTGCAAAAGGCCTGAGTCAAGCTCCTGGTGGCTGGTGTTGCCTCATCAACTTGCAGAAGGCCTCGTTCAGCAGGGTCACAGGTATCTTCACTCACACTGAGTTACATCAAACAGGATGCCAAAATCGTTTCTGAGTTAAGTCTTGCCACCAACATCGATCAAAATTCTTGACTCGGAACCAGAATCTGTGGGAGCTGAGCAAGACGCGGAATTCTGACCCGGCAGCCCGAGTGCACCCGATCCCAACGAACATGGCACCAAGGCACCGGCAGACTCCGAGATCAAGAAGCAGCCCAGATGTTTCCAAGAAGGTTTTGTGCATCCAAAAATCTTGCTGTTGTGCTTAGCTTATGTTATGTAATATATATATATATGGGCTTAGCTTATATATTTAATCACATCACAACCATTACTATTCCAGAGTTTTGTGCCTCAAAATGCCTCCTACATGTTGTTTCATCTCCACTTCACCGGTCTTTTTTCAGAGGCTCCCCAACACATAGATACCCATGGCCGCACAAGCAAGAGCAATTCATAGTTTGCCATGGTTCTGGGGCTCCTTTAACCATCATCAGCATCAGACATCCCTCGAGCTATCGACGCGATCATCCGCGCTTAGGTTAGAAGTGAAGCAACATCCAGTTCTTGGCACCATCATCCCAGGCGAGCGGCATTTTCTTTCCCCGTGTTGAGTCAAGCCGCAAGCTCCACTCCTGGTGGTGCCCTTCAATCAATTCCTTTAAGTTTCAGCCTTTGGTATCCTTTGATTCTCACATGCATCATTCCTGGGCCAAGCCATGACATTCTGCATTAAGGGAAGACGTACACAGGGACTCTGACCCCTTCAAATTTGTTTGGTTTGGTCACGCAAAGGGTACACTGGTGAATGTGCATGTGTCTTTGTCCTTCCAGGTCTCACAGAAGCCGCTGTAGCTTCCTGCGAAGAAGTCTTGAACCTGGTGGACTACGGCACCCAGATGAGGTGCTGCTACAACTCACGAGTTGGAACGTGTGTTATCAACCCGAGGGTTGCCTCAGATTTGAGTCTCCCAGAAGTCACCTGAAACATCCTGAAACTACAGCTGAAGTTGTCAACATGTTCATGGCTTCTAAAGCTTCTTGGAAGCAACTGCAAAGTCTGCAAACTTTTGTGGGTCATACAACTTGACTTCTCGTGCTCTCTATTTTCTTGTGCTGGAAGCAGGCACGTTTCAGCCACAGCAATGCTGCTCGCTTGCAAATGATATGCCAATCCCATGCCACCAGATTAGTCACCAGACCAAGGAAAGGCTCATAAGAGTAGTGTCGCGCTCATTGAACTTTCTTTCAGAAGACGGTGAAAGCACTGTTTCACCACTGGACTTCAGGACGAGCAAGCACTTCCAATGACCAATAACTTCATGGTGTGAACGTCTTCGTCCGAACAGAATGCCGGACGGGTCCCTTCATCCCCCCTTCCCAGAACCAAAGCGGTTTGAGGATGACCGAAGCGGTCGTCTCCATCGGAGGCGAGTGCGGTCGACCTCGACGACCGCCCTCGGTGGCCCAGGAATGCCACCAGTAGTCGAAGCCGCTGGCCCAGCGAACAAGATGGAAAGAACGAGAGGTCGAAGCGACCGGAGAGAGGTCGATGTCAAACAGTCGGATGAAGAAATTCAGACTGAAGCAAGAATGAAGCACAGAAGTCATGAGTTGGTGTTTTTCGGGACTCTGAAAACTGAGGTCACTGCATCTTCACCTTTAAGACGTCACTCACAGAGCCGGATCAGCCATCCAAGGTCTCTCAGAAGCTCAGACTTGGAGTCCGGATGGTGTTGGGTGTTGCCTGCTATGGCCGCCATATGGTCAAGGTTTGTTCTTCCATGTGCTTCCCGTTGAGATTACTTCCTTCGTTTTTACATATTTTTATCATTTTTGGGGGTTGGTCGTTTCGGAAGACATCGATCACTCGTTGAAAGTCCAGAGACACTCAATTCCCTCACACCCTCGGCCCAACGGTCAATTTCAATCGTCGCGAGTCTGAACGACAGATGACACAGTGTGCGCGTGAATCTCTTCAGGACTGTGCTCCTTTCCAAGCGGGCATGGTTGTTCGGCGACGAAGGTCGTCGAGTAGCAAGACCGACCCATCGGAGCACACACTCCGATCAACAACCAAGGTGAGTCGGCTCCCGTTTAAACAGCCGTACTCGCACTGGGGAACGCGTGATGCCCTGGCCTTGGACAGTGTTAACCTTGAAAATGTCCTTTTCTTAGCCTACGTGCCACCGAGCCCTGGACACACTGAAGAAGGTATGTCCGAACCATGCGCAGGAGGTTCTGAAGGCCCAGTGGCACGCCCTCGGTTATCGAAGCAACTCCCCGGCTCCCCCCGAGCTGGCTGCAGAAACGCAGCCTTCCTTTACCATCAACTTTTTGACGCCGTACAAGGATTTGCCAGCGGCAGACACCTTTCTGGCAAACAATAATGTGCGGCTGGGGACTTTGTCATTAGGGCTTAGTGGCGAAAAGGCAGAGCAGGGCCAAAAAGGAGGCAGGTAGGTGCTCTAGGCCAAAAGCCAAATAATAACAGCTTTCGCAGCCAGAGGCAGAACAGGTAGGCGCTCTAGGCCAAAGTTCAAAGGCAGAGCAGGGCCAAAAGAAGCAATAGCGCCATGCCCTCCCCCTAATCCTGCGCTCATCACGGCTCGGAAAGGGCGTCAGACAGCGAAACCCCCCCAAAAAAACTTTAGGAGCCAGAGGCAGAGCATGTACAGGCAGAGCAGGCAGGTGCTCTAGGCCAAAGGCAGAGCAGGGCAAAACAGAAACAACAGCGCCGTCCACTTAATTCTGGGCCAACAGGGCTCGGCAAGGGTGCCAGGCGGGAGCTTCGAAGCCCAATAGACACAGCTTTAGGAGCCAGAGGCAGAGCAGGTAGGTGCTCTAGGCCAAAGGCAGAGCAGGACCAAGAAAAGCCATGGTGCCACAGGGCTCGGAAAGGGTACCAGACGCCAGCTTTGAAGCCCAATAAACACAGCTTTGGAGCCAGAGGCAGAGCAGGTAGGTGCTCTGGATTGCTTTGGGCCAAGGGCAGAGCAGGGCCAAAAAAATCAATAGAACCTCTCACGTTGCAACCTTCGGTATCCTAGGCGCCGCCATTCGCTAAGCCGGGGTCGGATTTCTTTAGGCGTCCACAGCACTATGTGGCACTGTCCGAGGACGCACCTGGTGGACCTGGCGGGCTCCGAGCGGGCCGGCCGCACCAAAGCCACGGGAGATCGGCGGCTCGGCACGTGAGTTCGGGGGAGGAACGTCGGAAATAGAGAGGAGATGCTTCTTCATGAGGAAAAGCATGTCAAAGTGTTTAGATGGGAAAGATGAAGAAAGACAAGTCAACTACCACGCTTGCACAGCAAGGGTCGGAATGCCAGGCTGAAGGAGGGTGCAGCCATCAATCAATCATTGTCGACACTTGCAAGGCAAGGCGCAGAGTTTGAGCAGTTGAATGGGGTGAGACCCTGTCACTGTCTTAAGAAAAATGGTGTCCACCTGCCTATGGCTTTGATCTGTTCTGATTTAGAAAAGAAGGATCCCACAATGAAAGGACACAACGGTTAGAATTGGTCCAGGTAAATTCATTGATTTTTTTGTGAATTGGACTTGGGAATGGTCGGGTACAGGGCAAGGGACAAGATGCGAAGACAAATGGCTCAGAATTCTTCACTTACTTAAGTCTGGAAACGAATCAGACTCCCATTTGCCAGGACGGAAAAGAAAGGGATCAAACATTGATTTTGCAAACTGAAAAGTAGTTCGGATGCAATTGACCCAGAAAGGGAGAAGACAAGGAGGATGTTTAATGACCTGTCGCGGGCAGAAAACAGATCCAATCCAAAAAGATCGGCGTCCGAGATCGGCCCAATTTAGATCATTTGCCTTTTCTTTTCCTGCGAGTGATCTAGACTCTAGACTGGACCATCACACCATCACAAGGTGTTGGCGTTTGAATTGTGTTAGTCACTGGGAACTTAGTTGGTCGGGGTGAGATGTGCTTCTAGAAAGTATCGTAAAAGGTTTCATATGAGGCAACTCGGCCTTGATGGTTGGTGACTTCTTGATTTCTTCCACGCATATGGCAGGAATAGATAAAGAACACAAAAGAAAGTGTGCGAGTGAACTCCAAGATGTACTACAGTTTTCGAAAACATACGCCGTTAAAGGGTTTCCTTGTTTGTTGGAGTATCAAATGGGTGATTTTCGCAAACCGGGTGACTTCCCTCTCATGTTGTGTTTCCTTGCGGCCGAATAACTCTGTGCAAGCCTGGGTGGCTTGACCCATGCGCTATAGTATGGGAATACTAATTGAAGTCTAAATGGAAGCGTTTCAATTACCTCCTAAGATAAAGATTTCATTGAGATTTCCACCAAGTTCATTCGGTTTCAGAGAGGAATCCTTACAGACGTTTATATACATTACAGTACATGAACATACATGAACATAAATGTATTTCGGGTAGATGGCTGTTGAGTTGCCAGATGTTCATTGGCTCTAATACATTGTCGGTCAACCGTAGTCAAGTGGACATGGTCTCATAAAGTTTGTTTACAGTATACTTGTACATGTTTACCTTGTCCTGAAATCAAAACATGTACTTCACGGCAAACCGTGTGTGCTCCTGAATTCAAGGATCATCTTAACTTGAGAGACACCTGCCTTTCGGCACACATCAGACCGACACTCACGCTGACTCGCATACATCAATTGTGACTTTGTTTCGAAGCCAGGGTGATCTCAGAGCTTGCGAAGTCTGCCAAGACGAAGAAGAAGCCGAATCCTCCGTTCCGAGAATCCAAGCTGACCTACATCCTCAAAGCCCCTTAGCTTTGCCACCGTGCGATTTCATGGTTTGTATGTATGTTGGAGGCTGCTGGGAAATGATGTATCTCAAAATATTTAAAAGAAACATGGGTGTCGACCCACACGAATCTATCGGGCTCTCGGCCAATGAGCAGCCGACCTCCAAGCCTCCAACATCCTGCTGCTCGTAGGACATGATTTGGTACTTCTTTGTGTTAGTCCGCGGCGGTCCACAATGCCTGGGGGTCACAAATGCGTACGAGCTAATGACGTTCTCCGCAAGCCAGGAGTCTTTGTGCGGCAATTCCAAGACCGTGATGATGGCTGCCATTTCGCCCAACTTCACAGATTATGCCCCCTGGCACTTGGGTGGACAGTTGCCCATGTAAGGGGTGGTCATGGACCATGGAAGACTTGAGGTCGTGTTTGTAGCTGACGTCTAGCATCGTTTCTAGGTCGTGGTTGATAGGGTTTCATTGGACCATTGTACGCCACCACTGCACCGCACAGCAACGTTTCGGCGGGTGTCCCCTCGTGTTTTCGGTCATGTGCTTCCCGACGGGCGTGGGGATCAACTTCGGCGACCTAAATCGCTCGTAGCGAATGGGAAGTTAGAAACTGACACTGTGTTTTCGAATCCTCCTGAAAGAAGATAGAGTCAGGGCACCACTGAGGGGCACATGATGTAAATGCCTAGGGGATGTAAATGCCTAGGGGGGCAAGAGAGTTGAGAGCAAATGCCAGGCCAAGTTGTTCATTGGAACAAGCCTAGAAACACAACGAACCCCAGAAGAAACAGACACAGACACATATTATATGCATACAGAATAAACATATATCAAATTTATGCCGGGAAATGCTGGCCAAGGCGCCTTGTTTCCAACAGGCCTGGCATTGGGCAAGAAGCTCCAAAGAAAGGAAAGGTTCCTCATCATCAGAGTTGTCCACACAAAGGCGAACATGTGCCATACTACACTGTAGGCTGACCATGCCAGCCAAAACGCCTTAGAGCAAAACTGTTGCCGAAGAGCGAAACTGCTGGCCAGCAAGCTAGAATGCCTTTTGGTAGGTTGATTGTCGTAGGGATGACATGGTTAGTTAGGCACGGTATCCACCCACAGCTGAGACTTGACTATCCTGAAACCTGTAGGTGTCATCAGGTGTCCATTATTGGGGTGTCTCAAAAGACTTTGGGAACCTCTCCAACTCACCAAGCTTGGTTGAGTAGTTTTGGCTTATGAGGAATACGGAAGGAATCTTTGTCCATTGGGCACTTGGGTTTGTCCAGGACCTACCGAAACTACGTGCCCCAAACCCATATTCACGTTTGGCTTCTCAATGATTCTCAAGCCGGGAGAGACACTCCTTAGGCACCTAATTAGAGTTCCAAAGGTTCCAAATCACATGGTATATACAAGAAAGCGCCATTTGAATTGGAGTTGTGAGAAGCAGCAGAGGAGACACTTGGGCTCAGACATGCTTCTGAGTGAGAGCGGATGTTGAAGAGCTAAGGATGAGACCCTTTCTACCTTGAAGTTTTCGCAGTCAGTCAAGCAAGTGCAGACCAAGGCCGTCGCTGTTGATTGACACTCATGTGGTACAAAAGGAACAGTTTAAAAAAGAAATCAAACACACTTCTGCAAGGCTGCTTTAAATGTCGGTAACGTTCGTTTTACCATAGACTTGCAGCAGCTGCAACCTTGTTGAGGCTGTGCAGAATGCACCTTGGAGGCATCCCAAGGGTGAGTAGAAGCATGTAGAAGCAAATGAAGCAGATGAACCCCTGACGTCGAACTGTGTTAGGAGGATGTCAAGCTTCAACTGTTGGAAACCCGAGTTATAAGAATGGTTCAATGATCCATATGCTCCACGATGTTCCACTGAGCATTGGGAGTCACAGCTGAGGCGGTGAACATGTCCTCAGTGGAGGCGCAGCTTCGAGCCGAGTTAAACGCACTGAAGTCACAGCTCCAGGCAATTCAGGCGCGGTTGATGCGTGGGGCACCGAAACTGCGTGATGTTCAGTGGACAGATCTAGATTTGGTTCGCCTTTGGAGTTTTGGGGGAGAATCATTTTGGATTCAATCTCAGAGGTGGTTGCCGCCAGGTGTTCAGATGGTGGGTGCGTATCAGAGGGCCGTTGCGTTTTAGAGACACTTGAGAACCCGTCCTATCGGTGGCTGGACAGATGGGAGTTCGGCTGGTCCCGCTTGTGGGGTTCAGCTTTCGAGTAAAGGCTTAGAGATGAGAAGGGTCCTCATTCTTTGGCCCTGAGCCAAGCCTGGCTAAATATGGCTATATAAATGTCAGCATAATGAGCGTTGTTGGAGGAGGTGCTTTTTTCTTACATCTCATAATTAATGTTGTTGGACTTGTTTTGAAATGAGACCACGTGCCGTCCATCAGTGCACAAAATTCACAGCTAGGATTTCCAACCCCGCATTGAGCCTCGTAATCCTTCGTGTGAGGATCCTCAGGCATCTGATGAGCTAAGCTTTCTCAAGAGGCAAGACAGAGAGGGGGGCTGTTTCGGGTTGTGCCACACCGGAATTTAAACCAACTTGTACTTTTACAAACAGCTGGATGGACCAGCTCAGGAAGGAAAGCATTTGACTTTCCAGTCATACACGATGAAACAGTCAATGAAAAACAGCGGTGAACATCGATCCACAGATCGGCCGGCAGGTGTATTTGCAGAGTGCAGATTTCTGCATATGATTCATTACTGAACCCCGTCAATGTAGCACTCGTTACTGTAGATACTGACGTTGAAGGTGCATTCGATCTTTGCTCCGACGGTCCTGCACAACAAATATAGCAGACATGACCCACTGCCTGCTTACGGCTGAGGCGATTGGAAGAGCAAGAACAACTTTGCGCGTACTACGGAAAGGTGTTGTGCTTAGACATGCTGCATTCGCTGTGGATTCCAACTGACGTTCATGCATGTCGTCAATTCATGCAGGAAGGCTAGCCGGTTCAGGCTAGCCGGCGCCAGCTACAATACTGTGTTTTCATGTGTTTCCAAGCATCGCTGCTGTTGTTTCACACCTATGATGACTATTGGTGTGAAGATTTCCACGGGTTCGTTTCGGGTCAAAAAGCATTGAATTCGCCTCCTTTCGTTTCGAATGGGTCAAGCGAGCTGCCGTCACGGCGGAGCCTGCGCAAGGATTGGGATAGCCTTTTGGCGGAGGAGCGCAGTCGTTCCTTGGCGAGATGGATTCGTAGCGCGTTCCTCGATCCGGTGGACCATCCAGCCTTTTCCAGCCTGAATGAAGGCGGATGATGAAGCAAAGCCACACAACTATCCCATGTTTAGGAGATCTTTGACCATCCAGGGGTGGTTATAGAGTTGTTTGATTTAGTCCGTCAACTCAGTGTAACTATCAACATTTTTCTCCAGCAGTCTAAGAGGTGTTCATGTTGGCACAGGGAAGCAAAACGTGACGCGCTCAGAGCAGGTATGGATGTGAGGAGAATCTCGGACAGCAAGAGTGGTGTTCGTTCGTGTTCGTTCCAAGTTGTGGCCCGAAGGATCCAGGATGCAGAAACGATCCACGGATCCAACGATCCACACCATGAATCTAGGCCCATCTAGGCCCTAGGCATCGGCGACCAAGGAACATCCCTGCATCCTTCGGCCCTCCATCCTGCTGCCCAGCTTCGTACTCTGGAGAAGAAGAAGATCAAGGCTCAGCGTGTGGGTTGGACATGAGCGAATTTGGGGCATGTAAATGATTTCTTACAGGGTCACTCACGAAGGAAGGAACTTGCTTTTCTAAATGGAGGTGAACACGTAGTGAGAATCGCGGTGGTCACCGGTGGTCTAGTTGAAGCGTAGCTGCTGCTGGCATTGCACTGTAAGTGTTATCTACAATGTCAGGCCATGCATGAAAGTAGATGCATGACCATGCTCATCCCAAGGATCTTACTGATCGAAAACGGTGACTGAAAATTGTGTGAAAGATGGACTTTGCAGCATCTGCTCCAGCCAGGAGTCTTTGAGCTCTGATGTTTCTTGGATGTATTGATGTATTCTTTTGAGTTGGGAAGTTGATCTCAGCATCCACCGAGCTCCCAGGCTTGAGCGGAGCTTCGCAGCACATGGGCTTGACAGACACCCCAGAAAACCCGGTAAGTGATCAGCTGCAGAATTCTTGTTGCCTTCTCCTTCATGGTTTGACCCCCAAGAGTCAGATTCAAGCCAACATATGTACACTTGATTGGCAATTCCCACCTCAGGAAGATATGGAGGAGGATGATGATGTGGAGTCATTCACCTGCTCATTGCTGCTCAGCTGCAAGGTTGATTGAACTACAAAGCCTGGCGCAGGGGATCTGCTCCTTTTCGACTTCTTTCCCACAACCTAGGTTAATGCTTGGCAAGCCAATTGATGAAGCTCCACCAGAGGGGTGCTGGGCTCAGCTGTTCAACAGCTGTGTTTTGCAGAGAGAAAGCCACCGGCATAGAGGTTAGACGGTGAAGAGAAAAGGCACTTTTCGTCTGGCTCGGGTTGAATGCCCGACTGATAGCTTGCCTTCGTTTTGCAGGAGATCGTCCTTCGTAGCCCCGATCCGAAGCTTGGCTGGTCCATGTGGCTACCAGATGTCGTTTGCGCGGACTTAAGGCGGCCACAGAGGAGCATGGTGACCCAAAAACCAGAATTCGGGAAGGTGGGAGGGAGCAAGGGAGGGAGGAGGGAGGGTGGCAGTTGATCGTGCAAGTAAAAAAATATGGACAGTTGAATTGTACGCCTTTCATAAAAAGAACCACATCGTGTGATTCATGGTGTGCACTGCAACATAGGCCGTATTGTCCAGAAGGCCGGCCCACAAGACCCCTTCTGTTGCCGAGCTGTTTTTCCTAGCTTCTAGAGTCGAGTTCTAGTGGTTGACCTTGACAATGTTGTCCAAGCTGGTAAAATTCATTGGGCTGTGCGGCTGTACCATGTTTTAGTGAATTCTAAGGTGCGGTTCAGTGAAAGATTCCGACAGCAACACAGACCGTCAGACCAGACTGCATCTACCAAGGAAGCTCCCTGGCCGTGGTAGGCCCGATGGCACAAAAGCTCTTGTCACAGGGCCAGAAGATGCAATCCGAGCTTTTGAACAGGCCAGAAGATGCAACCGACGGTGTCTGACGGTTTTTGAGAGCTGGACGCAAAACGTGCATTTGTAGGTGGTATATTGTGCGGGAAGAGCTCCACTTCTAAGTGCCGCGTAGCGGGTGTTAGTAGTAGTAGTATGGTTACTTGTGAATCATCCCTGATGGGAGCGACAGCGACAGAACTGTTGAGGCAGAACTTCAAATTATTCTGGCGGCATTGGCAAGATGTGCCGCAAGTTTGTGTGAATGCGTGATCTAAAGTTCGTGAATTGATTATGTTATATAAGTGATATAAGTGATATGCATGCACATATATATATATATTATATATATATGTTTAAGTCGGGAAGAAGTTCTTGTATTCGTGTTGGCGACTGCTGCTGTTCGGTGTCTTAGGATGCCAGCTCGTACCCGCAGGCGGCTGGAGGAGCTGGCTGCTGCAGCGGCAGAGGCCATGGGACTCCTGAATGGCGCGGCGAGATCTGAAGGTGCGGATCGGGGACCAGCGGGGACCGGCGGCCGAATTCTTTGTGGCCCAAACCGCTCGCATTGTCTTTGTTGGCCCAGGTCTGCTGTCCTTGAAGGTGCTGGTGGTGGCAGACCCTCGTGACGATCAGACCTTCGAGGTGAGTTCTGGGGGGCTAGAGCCTAGAAGCCCGTCCGTGACCAACGCAGTTTACTTCCGTCGAACAGGCCGGCTTGGTGGTGCAAGCGTCTGCTGAATCCTCTTTGCCATCCTCATGGGCCTGGCATGCTTCTCAGCCTCGTATCCTGCGTCTTTCTTATGTCTAAACCAAACGCCGAGATCAACCAAGGCCACGACAAGAGACGGGCGAGGCTGGCAAGCTTCATTGCTGACACTGATCATGGTCGGGGGTTGAACAAAAGACAAGACAAAAGGATTTGCCAAGAATATTGAGTCCACCCATGCCCACACCTGTAGAAGCCGCCAAGTTGAGAATATTTGAGAATGGGATACCGCAAAAAAGACATTCGGGTCGCAGCGCTTTGCAAGGATGCAGGAAAAGTGCAGACTCAAAGTATTGATTGGTGTTCTGGGAACCTCAGCATATTTGGCAGATTTCGGCAGTATTTTCTGATTGAATGTAATTTCTAATCAATTTCTGATTGAATATGTTGGTTCTCTTGCAAACTCAGGAACGAGCTCAAAAAGAGACTAGCTTGGCTCAAGCAAAACAGGCCTGGTTGACATGTTTGACTCATGGACTCATGGTCTTGTTACTCGTTCCATCACATCCAGAGTTGAAGAAACTTGGCCAGATGCTAGATACATGTGATCCTCTTCAAATCAATCAAGCATCATCTAGAATGTAGCTCTCCTGTCTTCTTGGACCAATTTGGGATTACCGCCATCCAAGTGAAGTTGGAACATTCTGCCGGAAGACGTGAAGGTTTGTAGAAGGACTAGGCAGCAAAGACTACTTTCACGTTGACAAAGCACGGTCCAATTGCTGGAAGGTCAGAGGTCAGCAGCAAAAGTCCTGCTGATGCCTGGATGATCTCGGCACATGCCACATCCGGTCACCTGGCCAGAAAGAGCGACTTGTTTTTATCTTTTTTTGCTTGGCCGGAAAACGGAAGAACCTGATGTAATGTATTTCTGGCAGGCAACCAGCAGATGCAGCAGCTGCAGCGCCAGAATGCTGAACTGGTGCTCCACTCAAGTCAACTGGAGACTGTATAAGTGCCAAAGAGAGTCTTCCAGACTTAAGCTTACTTTGCCGAATGATTTTAAGCTGGCAGTTGGTATGAGAGTCCGGGAGTAGAGTCGCTTTCAACAAGTTGGAAAACAACCTGAGAGACTGTATCTAAGGAGAGAAGGCTTGCGGAGATGGAGTCCAGGTACCAGACGTTCGAACGACATTTGATGCATAGAGTCTATATAAGCTGGTGCTGACTGTTCATCGTCCTTGACTCTGCAGGTTGAAGGCTGGGGAAGGAGGTGACTCAAAAGCCCACAGTGTGAACAAGGAGACGGCATGCAGCCTGGTATTGGGGAAGCATTCTCAATGAACAGCCATCTCAATGTCCAAACAGCAGAGCCTCGGGCCTCTTCCGGTCGACTATTTCACACCAAAACCAGAGAGAAGACTTTCATGGAGTTTGTCCTGCTCAGTTTATGATGCCCTACAACATAGCAGCCCGGAAAAACAGGAAACACACATGCCACCTAGTTTCACCATGTTTCACCCCACTTCTTGAGCCGTGCACCACAGGAGAATGACCCTGCAAACCTTCGTGTCTTGGAGACGAACTGGTTTCCGAGCGGACCTCGCCTCGCTGTGAACAGTGCGACGTGGGCAGTCCTGGCAGCTCCCCCT